TGGCAGTGCCTGTGCCGACTGAAGACCATCTTGCAGATCTGGAGGCAAGGCGCCGCAAGCCTGGCGGACTCCATCAAGGTCCATCAAGGCAGCACAAGATGTTGCCCACACCTCCAACTCTTCTCCATGCAAGGCATTGGACCGAAAGGCCAGTCGGTACCTAACACGGGCAACTGTAAGATTGCAGCATCATGCAGGTTCATCTCATGCGCACCGATGCAGGAATATCCTCCGGCACCACACCTGATCCTCGTGGTGGGTCTCCATGGCAGAGTAGAGGCCTCAATGGCACAGCGGTGGCGCAGCAGGCAGCTGCATCAGAATGTTACTGCCACGGGGACAAGCAAGCTGAGTTCAAGCCAAGGTGCCGTCACCAACAGTGGCATGTCCAGAATGAGCAGTGTGCACTCTGATCTGATGCTTGCGCCCGGTTCCAATCCGAATTGCCGACAGGGACAGTGCCCGGCCCAAGCGCACGGCATGCAACAAGACCTTGAGGTATGTCCGGGAGGTCTCACCAAACGTCACGCGGCTTGGGGAGTCTTTCTTGGTGCCTGTCTCCGACCAGGTCACAGAGGCCCGGATGATGTCGCGACCGCTCCACCAGCCATGCAACAAAACCGCGTAGTCCCGAACCAGCATGCCGCATGACAGTTGAAACTGCAGGTCGTAGTATGCAGAGTAGGTGGAGGCGGCCAGGATCATGCCAGAGCTTGGCACGTCCAAGCGATGGAGGAAGCCTCTCTGGTGAGATTCATCGTGGTGGATGGGGAAGTTGCGGATCTTCTGCACATAGCGGGAAAGGGGCAGTCCTGAGGCTTCTCCCGATTCATCCACCTGAGGCGATGCACAGCTCACCGTAGCTCACGCCACGACTAAGTCCGACTCTTTTCTTCGCCCATCGGCCTGCCAGCCAGGCGGTTTGTAGATGACAAATCCTTGAGGGAAGGCACAGGGTCGGATTGCGTCTTGAGGGCTCAAGTGCCGCCAAATGCTGCCAAGACTCGATCCGTGAGTTCAAGTACCGCCTGCGGTTCCGTCGGCTCGAGACCCGCAGCCAGGCGCAGACTGCGTGCGCTGCGTGCGCTGCGTGCTGACGATTCTGAAGCTGCCTCTGAAGGTGAGCTGGTCGCTGGACTCTCCCAAATGCTGGCCACTCGCTGAAGCCCATGCCAGACCGAGGGCAGGCTCTGGGGCTGTAGGCAACCAGCAAAATTCGAAGCCCAAAGCACTTCCAGTGCGTCTGTGCTAGAAGTCATGGCCTCTCTGCCTTGGAGATCCATTCGGCTGGCGAGCTCTGCCTGCATTTTGCCAAGAAGGTCAGTGCAGAGCTTGTTGGGGGATGATGCCACAGACCACGCCAAGGTAGCCAGTGCGCGCAGAGGAAGTCGACGTTCCTGCTCCCCACATGCTGAACTCAAGCAACTCAAGCACACAACAAAGCAGCAGTCCTCCCCGCTCTGCAGTCGAGCTTGGATCTCGCGGAGCAGTGTGCCCCATTCGCGCCCGCAGCATGCTCTCGACCAGGCCAGCGTGCTGAGCTCCTTCCGGCCCACGCTATGCAGATGCTTCAGGCATTCAGGCTCAGGCTCAGGCGGGCTCCTGCAAGGTGAGGCGCGGGAGCTCGGTATCGGACAACATAGGCTCCGCCAGCTCGATCTCTTCTCCACTATGGCGGCGGATGCGGCTCCACCTCGCCCAGAGGTTTCGCACACTTTGGAGATGCATGATGCACAGATGATGCATGATACAGGCGCCTCCATGTTGCTTGCACGGCATCCGAGGCAGAGAGCGGAGAGGGCCGAGTGCCGCTAACGGCCGCCCCGGCGGGTGTGGAGGGCTCCAGAAGCAAGCGGAGCGCTACCGGCCACCTCACGCATAAGAGGCAAGTTCGAGCTACCGGGCATCACTCCACAAGCGTGTCTGCAGCTCAGCAGCTGGTCTTCGTTTTCTGATGCGCTGATCACCTTGGCCGCTGTGATCAGATTCAATGAACTTCTCTCGTCCTGAGTTCTTCTCCGTCCTGAGTTCGTGGCCGTTCGATAGCAGATCTCGTTTGTCTCCATGCCTTGTTGCACCATCCATCCTCGTCATGTCGTCATGTCGTCATGTCGGAGACTCCCATCAAAAAACACCCAAAAGCACTGAGCAACTGAGTAAGCGAGGAGCCCAGCATCTGCAGAGAAGTCCGCCACTGAAGGCCCTTCTCGCAAGCATTCAGAGCGGAGCCATGCGTGATCTCCTCAGATCTCGTCGCTCAGCCGCTCAGCTGACAAGCTTGCAGAAGCCCTACTCATCCAAGGGACGCTGTGGGCCTGGCAGCGATCCTTGCGCATGCCTTAGCTTGCATTGCCGGCTTGTAGCAGCTTGCGCGGTGCTTGCATAGCGCTTGGAGCTCCTTCTGTCTCTTGCCCTTGCCGAGTCGCGACGCGTCATGCAGAGAGCGAATTGCCAACAGCCATGCGCCGCCAATGCTGTCACAGCATTTGAGTACGTGATCCCGTTGGCTGCGTGACCTGCTTCTCTGCATCCCAACAGCCACAATGAATGTGGCCAGCGTCGGGCGGCATTGAGCGCAATGTTATAGTTGAAAATGTCTGGCAGAAGTCTCCAGGCCCCCATCGACGACAGCACTGTGAAGGACCACTCCCAGTTACCTCCTTTCACTGCAGCGTCCATGACTGCACCGCAGCTGATTTGATCCGGCCTCAACGCGTCTCCAGAATGCTTAGCCAGAATACCGGTGCTGAACTCAACCGAGGCGCTTTGCTGCTTGCAGCAGTTGGTAGAAGTGGTGCAGCGACAGCTGCCAGCGGCCTCCTGCACCATAGGCACTGACGGCGGCGTTGTAACCTGACCGCTTCCAAGCAGCATCAAGACTGTGCCTGATCAAGGAAACGTGTTGTCTGTTTTGCATCTGCACTTAGCCAAAAGACACACCGTGTTTCCCTGCACCTGGCTTGCTGCCATGCTCTCCCACAGCAAAGCTGCGTGCTGCCAACGGCTAGCAGTCTCACAGGCGCTGATGGCCTGAGCCCCATTTGCAGGGCCTCTCAAAGTCACATGACAGAAACTTGCTTCCAGTACCACACATCTTTCCAGTGCTACCTGCTACCAAGTCTCAGTGCTGTAACTGATGCTGTCCTCAAAGCAGGTGCAAGTTGCAAGCAGGACGGACCGTGCGCGTTGAATTCAAGTCTGAACGCAACTGTTCTTTCCGATTCAGGACTTCTCTTGGCTCAAATCGTTCCGTGGCTTGCTGATGTCTGACAAGGCTCTGCTTGAAGTGCAAAGTCAGGGATAGCTAGCATGAGCTGCAAAACAGTCTGCCACTGCTTTGCCCCACATGCCTTCATCACCTAAGCACCAGTTCAAGCCAAACCAGTCAAATTATTCTGCTACAAAAACAAGAAGCTACACTCCAATCTCGGTCAGCCACGGAGTTGACTGTTACCTCGTTTGGTGGCACGCTGCTTCTTTGCATCTCATTGAGGAGCTGCAACGCAACAGTCCATGGACAGGCATTGATGCAGGCGCTGAAGGTGATGCAACTACGCTTCACCTCGGCAACGTGATCGACACAATGAAGCTCTCAGCAAGCCGACCTGAATGCCAAATGGCTCGATTCGCGGCCATTGTCAGCAGAAGCCACAAGGCAGCTTGCCACGAAGCCCCGTCACAAGCACTGATGGCCTCGGATGGCAAGGGCTGTCTGGCCTGGGGAGCCAAGTTGTGACCAGAAGTCCAAGCGGCGGAGTTGAGACAGACGGTGTCAGCTCGCACATCCATCACTAACATCTGGTCAAGCAGCCAGATGGCCTTGCCAAGCTGAGATATGACACAGTCTAACAATTAAACGACAACCAGGTCCAGGCACGTCTGTCCATCGAGCACCGCTGCTGCAAGATGTCAAGGCTGTGCTGAAGGTAATCGGATCTGGCACAGATGTGGAGGCAAAGTCCGAGAACAAGGCCAAGCTGGCTTCCCAGGCAGTAGCCCTGCCATGCGTCGAATTCGAACGCTCTCACATGCTCTCACACAGCCTCAATCCAGTTTTGAGGCCACGCCTGGTGCATGCGCTCATGGCTACGCAGACGGAAACCTCTTCGAACAGCCTTTGGCCCGGCATGCTGGCCAGGAGATGTAGGGCCTGCTGCCAGTCCTGGCTCTTCTGACAGCTCCGAATTCTTGTGCGCAGAGTTGTCTTGGCGTGCATGCCTTCAGCGCAGGCACATGCCAAAACATAATCCATTTAACTGTTCTTGCTCGACAGCTTGATGCAGAAAGCCGGCCTGACGGCGCACGACAATCTTAGGTCTTTGCAGGTCTTTCCCCTGCAAACTCTGCGAATTCCATGCCGCTGACCACTGTGGCAAGTGGTGAACTATGAGCCAACATCCATGCAGCACATGCTCGGTCGCAGCAAGGATTATGAGCTGAGATGCAGCAATGTGAAAGCAGCCCATTTGTCCAAGTTTTTGATGCAGGAAAGAGTCCCGACGGCCTTCACAGCAGATATCGGCTTCGCTGCCAACTTGCGGCGCGCGGCTTGACCGGCTTTACGGGTAAACCAACAAACTGCGACTTCATCTTGAAGCGCAATGACCTGTTTTGAAGGTGGTGGTGCCAACTTGTGGGCAGCACGGGGACAGCAAAACGTCTGGGAGAATCTCTTTACACTGACTGTAATGCCAGACCTGTTGGGCTGCCGATCATGAGCATCAGTTTCCTGACATACAAGCATATTCTTTAAGACCTGTCGTTGCAGTTTATGACCGTCACGAAAATGGCACTCACGATCCGCAGGTAAGATGTAGGTTTCACATCTCTAAGTGTGGAAGCTGTCCGCTTAACGTTGAAGCAGAAAGCTGAACACCAAAATCACTGTTTCTGCGTCTGGGTTTGTTCACCCAGGGTACTGAGGAAGATTCGCCCGCCTTCAGCGATGAAGAAGAATTCCAATGCATGGGGAGGGCCTTCTGCCATCCCGTCAACCATCCTCAACCGTCCACCTTGACGGTGATGCACTCATCTTTACCTTGCCAATGCATCATGGTCGTACAAGATCACGGCATTTGTCAAGTAGGCATCCCCGGCCCTTTGCAATGCGTAGCTGAGGTAGCAACTCTCGGGGGCGGCACCGAAGATCACCCGCACACATCCTTGGTCAGCGGGAGCCAAGCCAACAGCCAGCAACGATTCAAGACTAGTGCAGTTGTGGTACCGGTTGACACTCGCCTGGACAGGGGCTCCGATGTCCAAAGCAAAAGCAGGCACAACAGCATAAGATGAAGCAACAATGTGCCTGTTCAGGATCAGACCCGTCCGCAGTCTCAGAGGAGGTCTGTCCAGCAGCCTGATAGTCTCACCCTGAAAGTAGAGTGATGGCAGGGGCTTGCAAACCATCTTGCAAGTCCCAACCCTTGAAAGCCAGCTCTACCCAGCAAGGCTATTCAACGCTATGGTCACTTCTTCTGCTTCTGCATTCATCTTGCGCAAAGGCATGGGTTGAGTGGGTCCAGGGGCAGCTGAGGAACCACAACAAACTGGCAAAGATGATCTGCAAGATCAGCACAACCAAAGCCTTGGTTCTGGGCCCTTCACCAAGCAATCAGTGACGAGCTTCTCTACACCTGAATGATGCTTCTAAGCCTACTGTGACAAGGCAAGGCTGGATGCCGCTCCCACAGTATCAGAACTAAACCAGCTGGTGCAGCGACAGTACACTATGCAACTGCACAACAGCGCTGGGGGCAAAAACCTGCCACACCAGCGGGCGATACGATGCACAAGAAGCGAACCAGCTTGCCAGAACTTGTGTTGATCAAAAGCATCAAGGTCCAAGTGAAATTCGCTATGACGTGGCTGGGGACGAAACAGACAACTCGTTCCTGTGAAGCACGACAGCAACAGCAACATGGCACGAAGCCCAACTGCCCTGACTGGACTGGCATTGTAACCCCCATACAAAGAACGCCAGAATCACACTGTAACAACACATTAAGGACCGCCCTGAAAGAATCAAATTAGCTCAGAAAAATCGGTGTCCACTCCAAGAGGCTCCGAAAAATTGGAGCTCGTAAATGCAGAGGAAGTCAAAGGTGAAGCGAACCACCTGCTCGTAGCCCAACGGGCTTCCTCTGGGTAGGACGAGGCCAAAGAAGGACCAGACCAGCAGCTTGATCGTGGTTAGGAATTGGATCAAGATCAATGTAGCAACGAGCAATGAGCCAAAATCTCGGTTCTCCTTAGATTTGCGGCGAGGCCTCGTAACAGGCGGCATGACATGGCAAAATGAATTGCGGAGAAGAGTCCACAATGTAGGTTGAGAAAAAGATCACAAACCTGCAACGCTGCAAGTCCAACATGGGACATTCTTCTCCGCACATGAGAATCAGTAGGGAGAGGCAGACAAGGCGCAGCAACAAGCACGGAATAGCCAGCATCATCATGCCTCAAAGGCGGACGAGGTGGCTATGTGCCTATATCCGTATTTACATACGTATATAGACATAAGTCTGAACTGTCTCGCGCCTGCAGACTTGATTCCGGAGAGTGCAAGCACCGATCGGAAAAGGAAGAGGATGAACATCCCACAGAGAGGAGCCCACATCCTCAGCTGTCACCAGGCACAGCGTCTTTGCATCTGAATTCCACACTCCGAGGAGCTGATCCAAGATGTCCGATGAGGTCATGAAGAGGTAGAGAGCACAGAGGAGGAGCCCAGAGATCAGCGGCAACACGAGCCCGCGGTTCGCCTGCTTCAGCTCCTGCTCGAAACCTGCCTCATACAGAGAGCTGGGCTTCCCGGAGATGAGGCGCTCGCGGTGCGCGGGGACCTGTCGATGGAGGCCAGCCACTTGCCGTATCAACAAATGTTCATCCAAGCGCGACCCCGTTACAGCCGCTGAAGCCTTTAAACTTTGATCCCTAGTCTAGAGATCAAGGCTGATCCCAAGGATGTTTTCCTGCATGATTGCAAGAGTGGTCCATGCGATGAGGCTTCCTAATAAGGTAGAGGTGAAAGTGAGATGCCCGACATCTGCAACAATAGCACGATACATGTTTTGGCCATCAGGACCTTGGCGATAAAGCCGACGAGCTCACGCGTTTGCTCCAGCACAGTCTTGGTGGGGGGCTGGAACAGGATCGGAGCCAGGATCCACACAAAGGCCTGCAATCTGGTCTGCCAGTCACAGTTCCACGAGGAAATAACTTCTGCTGAGACGTCCAAATTAAGCCCAGCACCGTGAAGGAAACAAGGATCAAAGGCAGGGCACCGTCACTGTTCATGGACCGATAGAGCCTGGATTGCAATCTATCTGCAGATTCCATAAGCGTCAGAGCAAGCTCCAATGCTAAGACACGCACACAATACAGTAGATAATCCGCAAAGCTGGCCGGTAGTGTGAGTTCCAATACCTGAGCTTGAAGTGCAAGGTTTTGCGAAGCCATGCGGAGCCCATGATAAGAGTGTGTAAGAGTGACGCCCACAGACTGTGCGGGAGAGGAGCGCCAGGAAAGCTTCCATGAGCGTGTAGCTCTTGTTTGCATGCGGTCTTCCCGTGTTCACGTATTCCGCCGTATTGGCTACGAATGTTGTGCGCACGGAGGAGGACATGGCTTTGTTAATGAAGATGAAATAGATCATGGACATGGGAGCACTGAGGATGTAGTTCTTGATCATCCATAAGGGGCCATACTCGATGCCCAGGCCAATGATGGCAGGCAGCATGGCACTAAATGCAGGTGTCAGGAACCACTCTGCCGCCAGCATGGAGCCCAGCTCGCCTAAGTCTACGATAGACTTTGAAGCCAGAGTCAAGTAAATGAAAATGAGGACAAAGACCTCTGTGCTAATGTCCACAATGACGTTGTGGATATACCTCGGTAATCGGCTCAACTGTGCGCAAGGCTGAAAAAGCGTATGATCTTGAGTCCTCGACAAGCACAAGGCCAAAACACAAACTGAAGACGTAGCTCATTCCAAGTCTCCAAGCCACCGTGGCAAAATACAGAGCAAAGGTTTCCATGACGGAAGCGTTTCCGCAAAGTGTCCGCAGGTCTCGAGTGCGTAGCAAGCCCACGCTGCCGCTTGCAATCTTCCAGAAGAAGCCAGAGCCTGCGAGGAATTGAACTTCACGGCCTTTCTCCCACTCCAGGTAGTCCGTATGCAGGGACTGCTCATGCCTGATCTTGACGTTCAGGCCAGCAAAAATGTCCTCGGACAGGTTGATGTGCGGCGAGGCTTTGGACACGGAGCCGCGGTTGGCAGCCCAGAAGCCATCCATGAAGTCCGGATGGCCGTAGTGCCTCTGCAAAGCACCAAATTCAAATAATCTGCAATTCTCCGCAGGATGGCCATGGTGCTGCCATGGTGCATGCGAACTGTCAGGAATTCAAGCAGGCGCTGCACCTGCAAGTTGCAAGAACACCCTGCGTCGACCATATGCCCAGGCACGCGCTGAGGGCAGCACCAAAGTGCCAAAGGTCCACTCAGCATCCTTAGACCGTGTGCAGAGAGAAAGATTGAGTAAAGGTCTAAAGTATGAGTATGAGACAGCTTTTACATTGAGAAAAGTTGCCGCCATGATCTGTCCAACAAGGCCGTGCTCACGGGTGAAGATGTGCTCGCGGAATCCGATGATGCGGGCTGGCCATTTAGGACTCTGCAAGAGGCTTTGTTAGGCTTCTGAAACCCGCGCCTTGCAGCTTGAGACGATGATCGTAATCTCCCTCAGTCAGCGTTCCGCGGTGAAAACCCTGCAGAACAACCTCAGCTGTAGCATTTCTGTATTGTGGCACTTACAGTGTCAACAGCGGAGGCTTGAGAAACATCAGGCTCAGCAAAGCAGCTGGCACCTTGAAAGTTTCACCCGCATAGCAGCCCATATTTGCATCCATCATCTGGACAAAGTGGCCTTCCGCAAAGCGAAGTGCTCCCAACTGGTTGCCTGCCTTTCCTTGCGTAAGGTTGCCGACGGTGCCAATAAGAAGGCCGCGTGCGCGTGGCAACACATGGACGATTTCGATTGGCCAGGTCCCCGAGGAACTATGCTTGATCAGCACACTGGCGTGTCGGAAGCGTACCGAAGCCCACTCAGCCAAGCCGCCGTCAAACGTCGCCTGCCTGGAGACGAAGGTGTCGATCATCTCCTCAAGCTGCGGGTGGCTCTTTCCGCGCTGGAAATCGATGCAAACGAAGAAGGGAAAGCCTTGGTGCTTGGCCAACATGTAGTGAACATCGTGCTCCCGCTTTGTGAGCTCCGCCTTCTCCAGCCGCGCAGTTCCACAATTCACAGACACATCCGAAAGGACCTGCAAGCAGAGACATACTGATACCCACGCTGTGGGAAAAGACTCTAGGGTGGAATTTGCATAATGCAATCCAAATCACCGCAGTGTGTTCATCGACAATCTCCTTGATGGTATAGAAGCCGCCCCCACGGAAGTTCTGCAATCCCTTGATCTGCGCCTGGCCCCAGAGCCGTCCTAGGAGTGCAGGGTGCCGGGCAAAGGCTGTAGAGCTGGTGCTGGTCACAGCTCCCTCAGAGGGATCGTCACTGATGGCGCCCTCGACCTTGCCATCGTCTGCCTCCGAAAGGCTGCCGTCCACCATCACTTCATCCACCAGGGACTGTACCTGCGCACCGTCGCTCAAGATCGCTTCCACCTCCTGTCGAGTCTTTGCACGGTGCTTCAACTTCGCCATGGCTCGATTCTTCCATATCTTCTCCACCGCACGCCGGGCAACAGCATCCTCCGCGTTCAGCGAGTCCAAGGTGAGGCGCACCCGGTCATTGGGCCGCAGGCCGTGAGGTCCCGGCGCCGTGATGACGCCATGTTGAATCTTCACTTGCTGGGCCTTGCCCAGGCTGAGCTTCCCATAGGTCTGGTGTGCCATGATGAGCTGGGCATGGGAGCGAAGGTCCTCGAATCCAACTTGGTCACCCTCCCTTTCCAACAAGACCTTGAGTGCCCGATGATAGTGCACAGCCCCATTGACCGTGCGGATCACGCTCTGAGCACGATGTGAAGCCCACTCCCGGACTCGGTCCTGCTGAGCCTTTGAGGCTCCGCCTTTTCCTTTGTTTGCGGCGCACAATTGCTCGTAGAGATCTGTGGGGTGCAGGCCTTCACTTTGAGCAAAGATCTCCCACTCCCGCGGCAATTGCGAAATCAGGAATTCGAGCATTGTTGACACAGCACCCCCCTTGGGGTCCCCGACCAGCTCTTTGATATCCATGATACCTTCTTCACTGTAGACGGGAACAATCTGAGTCAGGGATGGTATTCGGCCTCTGTGCGTTACGCCCAGTGCATCACAGACCCCCTCTGCGGTTGGAACATATGGCTTGAAGTTGATGTTGGTGTCACCCAGGATGGATCTGAGGCTTGTGAAAAGATAACCCAGCCTAGCTTTTGCACGGTCCAGGATGTGCGTGTCCTTTCCGGACAACTTCACAGAGCCACCTGTCTTTGCCGCAGACAGCCTGAGCTGCACGCAGCATGGCGCTAGCAAGCAACAGCAACGCTTTAACAGATTGCACAGAAAAATTGCGGCAAAGGACATGTTATCGCGCATCTTGCTGTCAATGAGGCACTCGTCGTACAAGCCATAGACCTAAGCGCATCCTGTCCAACAAATTTTGGTGCTGGCTATGCTGTCTTCACTTGACGTCGCCTTGCTGGTGCTAGGCCAAGTCGCCATCATCTCCCACACCTTCTGCCAGTCTTTGCCAAAGATTGCCTAGGGCGATCAAAAGGCGGGCAGCTTGAGCATTTGAAAACATGTAAAAGCAGCGTTTAATAAAGCAGCCAAGTGTGCGTTCAAGATGGAGCCATGGGTCATCCAGCTCGCTTCGGCTTTGCGCATTGAGGTGAAGTCGGAGGTGACCGTTTCAACGCGGAATTCCAGGGATGGGATGCTCGTCTCGACGAAGCCACGGGCAGCTCCCACCGAACTGCCCACAATGGCCACAAATATATTGAAGATGAAGTACATCATCAGCATGCTGCTTAGAACCACAAGCCACCAACTGGCACCCACGGTTGCAATACAGGCGACACAGCGTACATCCTTCACAGGGACGTAGTTGCCAAAGACGTCTACGTCATAAGTGCTGCAGAAGTCTTCATCGTCATCATTCAAGCTACAAAGCTGATATGGGGTCAAAGGCCGCACGAGCCCCACCAGCATCGAGTAATTGCACAGGAAGCAGAAAGTTCCAAAGGCAAGCCAGAAGAGGGCAATCCTGCAACAGCGGCTCAAAAGGCTTGGCCTAAGGAGGACATGCACAAACAAAGCATGGGTCCTCCGGAAGTATGCCAGCTGCAATATCTGATATGCGCTTGTAAGTCTTAGGCGGGGTGTCATACCGTAAACGAACCGGCAGGCGAGGTAGAACACGGGCAAGTACCAGAAGGTCTTGGCAAAGTTGGCTGGAAGCACATCGAAGCTGGACGGGTCCAACCCAAGCTGCGCTGCAGGTTCGGTCAACACTTCCGGCCAAGCAATCCAGATCCAGGCTGCTGCAAGTGCCAGGGTTGGAAGAACTCTGCAGACTCGCAAGAGCTTGATGCACACATTTCGAGCCCTTCGCCCAATAGTGTGAGGGGTTGGAGAATCGCTTACAAAGACCTCGCAGACCATGAGAAAACAAAGCCAAATGGAATCCAGGAAGGCAAGACTGTAGAAGGAGAAGCGTGTCAATGTTGGCTGACGGGAGCTGTTGCCCACCCAATCCTCGAAAACCTCAGAGACCCAGGAAACCACCAACTTGCTTATCTGCACAGCACAGCAACTGCAAGGAATGGGTACCAGTAGTTTACTTGACAAGAGACCTCACTGTCATAGAGTAAGAAGGCAGACCACAGGAGCCAGATGGCCATTGTCAAGACCCACTTGTAGTTGACAATGAAGTAGAAAACAACCCAAAGCCCCACAGGTTCACTCCACGTCTTCTGGACTTGCTTTGTGTCAGGGGCTTTGGCAGAAAGAAGTCCACAGTCGTTGATGTCGTCAAAGTTGATTCCTTGCTTGGGCGCAAAAACGTTCGAGTTCCGGCAGAAGAACTCAAGCGGCTCACAGAGATCTGCGTAGTCCACTTGACAGGAGAAGGAGGGCTTTCCGGAGCCGTCAGCAACGACCATGCTTTCGAAAACCTTCTGGTGTACACAGGAAAGCCACTCAGGGGAGTGAATAAGGTGCTCTGCGATTGAACCAATGAGTCGGGACGTCAGGGCTTCGACAAAGTACTTGTGCGCCTTGTCTTCATCATAGTCCAGGTCTCTTGGGTTGCCGACAACACCTTGCCATGCATGGTAGCCCTCGAGCACGCGGCGCCAGATGTTGTAGCAAGCTCTCCTGATCAATTCACCAAATGCCATCGGACCTCTATACCGTTAAACCCACGCTTCCCACCTGTTGATGGCCACCTCGTCGCAGAGCTCCGGCTTTTGTCTCCGCTGCTCCTCTGCAGCCACCGCTGAGGCCTCGTGCTCGATCTGCCGCCTGCTGATCCGTCGAGACCAAAAAAATTCACAGAGCAGCCACGACCTGGCCTGAGGCGATCCACCTGGGCAGCCAGATGCGTGTTGACCTCAGGTCTGCTGCATAAATGATACTTCTCCGATTCCAGGAGATTCGTTGAAACCTTGCTCGGGAGCCAACCAACATCTCAAGGAAGAGCCTCATGTTTGTGCCAGTCCTGCCCAGCCATCCCTTCCTTACTTCAATCAATCAGGCTGATGAGGCGGATCTCAACAAAACGTAAGTTCTACTGCAATGCTTGTAGCGGATGCAATGCAAAGTCTATACAGGACGGGGTTCATGTCGTTCTCGTCCCCCGGTGTGGACCAAATTTCCTCTGCGACACCAGAAAGGAAAAGCGGATTCGCCCGGTAGGACAAGTCCACGACCAGGTCTGCCCGGATTCCCAGGACTTGCAAATTAGCTGAGGCCCGCCCAGTGACACAGTCGCCTTCGTCGAAGCAGCCGTGGGCGTCCAGCAGCTCCAGCAAGTCCCGGCGGCGTACGGTGCGGTTTCCAATGAGTTCCGTGCGACGCAGCTCCGCATCCGTGAATCCATACACAGCCAAGGACCGGTCCGACTGCTCCTGGAGGTGAACACAGCTTAGCAGATAGCAGAACAGGACAGTACTCAGTACAGGTTTAAAGGAAGAGCACCTGAAGAAAGCGGATGAAGGCTTCTGCTGTTTCCCAGCTCTGCACAGAAGTTCCCCTCCCTCTGCCATTGTACTGCAAGCGGTGGTAGGAGAAGGTCCCATTGACCTTGGCGAAGCCCCAGCCACAGTACCCTCGCAGGTGGCTGTACTGGACTGGGACCTCACGGCCATCTTCCAAAGCTTCAGAGACTTTCACGGCCAGCAATCTCCCGTAAGGCACGGCCGAAAGGTCCTCAAGGACCTTCCTTGTGGAGCTCGCTTGCATCAGCTGCTCCAAGTTGTAGCAGTTCTGCTTGCTCGCGCCATCCTCGGTCTCCTGCTCAGCTGAGCGGGCAGCACACAAGGGCCGCCGCCTGCAGACCAACGAACAGAGGGTGCCAACCCCCAAAAGCACAAACAGCCCGCTGGCTGCGTAGAACACGATGAGTGTAACGCCCCGCTTCAAGACCACGCCAGCACAGACAGATGGCGGTGTATAGCCGTTCTGAATTGTCTGCAGGTCATTCACAAACTGGAAGCGTAAGCTGGCGTTGACATCCAGATAGCGCTTCTGGATACAGTGCCGGCCAACTGTGTGGAACTGTCCTGCCAGGCCCTGGTACGCAACGGCAAGCTCGCCTGCGTCAGTATGAGGTCCACACGTTGAGTGACCGAACTTCGATTTCAGCTCTGTGCAGGAGTCATAATTCTCGTCCGCGCTCCACACGTCTAACCACTCGTCCACCACGGCTCCTGGGTAAGAGCAGAGCTAACGTGAGAGGAAGTAGAAAGAAGCGAAATGGGCATCAACGCAAGGACCCTGTGGGTCCTCGAACGCAGAAGCCGGCGCTCCAGGCATCTTTGAGCCCCGAACCAGACCCGGATCCCGACCAAACCTCGTGCAGGGCGCGATGCTGCTTCTCCGGCTGCATGGATCCGTGGGAGTACGCTGGGAAGCCAAACTCCAGGATCACAGGCTTAATTGCGCCCGAGAGATCAGACACAGATGCAGCTCCAGACCCCAAATGCTGCTTCGGCTGACTGAAGTGATCGCGGAGTCCACGGATCGCGGAGGCCTCAAGTTCAGTGCAAAAGTTGCCTTTATACAGGGCTTCAAGTCAATTCAAGTCATGTAGACAAGCTTCCTCAACATCATCTGCCACTGCCAGTACCTGAATGACAGAGATGGTAATGATTAAGCACTTCATCCCCTACTACAGTTACAAGGATGGGGAAGGCCCGGTCCAACATCCTGCTCGCAGGCTTGCCCTGCAATCAACCGAACACCATACTACTGTTTCGAATGAACCCTCCCCACCCCCACCCAATGCAGTGGCGCACTCGGAGAACCCACATGTCGAACAAACCTGGGCAGGTCATGGACATAAGCGCCAGCTTGAACAAAAGAGCACGGCCACAAGCCACCTACGTGCGCCAAGCAACCAAATCCGTTGAAGGTGCATTGTTTTGCCACCTCCGCGAAGGACAGTGGCACCTGGACCTGGCAAGAGGGTTTAGGGACTACTTGAACTTGTTGCAACTTTGCATCCTGCTGCAGACATTCTGGTTCCGTCACAAGCTATTTACTCTGCCGGCCTGACCGACCGCAACTGGATGGCAGCCCACGACGCGCTCCATCCAAAAGATGAAAGCTTTCAGGTATTCCATATTCGCCGACACCTCCAACAACACGAAGGAATATTCAGTCTGTGACATCTTCAATTCTAGTGTACCAAGACGGCTGAGACCGACACGGATAGGTACACCTGCCATGGCTGCGGAGAGCAGGGATCAGGTTGATGGGGGATGCACGACTGAAAGCTTGACCCCACCTCTGCCAAGTCTATTGTCAGCGCCAGCGGTCGATCAAACTTGAATACGGAAACGTCGTCTCTTTCCAGGCACTCCGCCCTCGGGGCGCCCTCTTCACAATGGAATTCTCTCTGCGTCTCTCGTACCACCTGCAAGATCTCCTGAGTGAAGGCAAACCACGCTTCAGGGACAAGCAAGGGACGGCAGAGAGGCAGAGAGGGAGGGAGGTAGGGAGCTAAAAGGACGGAGGAAAAGCGTGGAGCAAGATCTCACAAGGGGAGTTGTGGCTCCTGAAGTGTTTGGACCGTGACAAGGGCGCCCACAAGATCTCCAGAGGAGGCAATGCAATTCCGGAAGTTGCTCACGTCCGTGAGTGCTCCCGCAACGCAACTGCGGGGCAGCAAGGCCTCCGCCGTGGGGAGGCCAACCACATTCCAAAGCAGGATTGTCTCAGGCGTGCTCAGCTTGGCATCATCGACAGAGGCGGAGTACTGCAGAAAGTCATGAAAATCTTTGCGTAGGGCTCCACGGGTAGCCGGCAAGGTCCACGCACCATCCTTCCAGTACCAAGAAAGGTCGAACGAGGGGATGACTTTCAGGCCATTCGCTGCGGCCTCGTCTAAAAACTGGGTGTGGCTCCTGTGCCCAAAGCTCCAAGGAGACAACAAGACCGCGTTTGCACCGAGCTCATTTCGAATCACGGGCAAGTCCCTCGCCTTAGCTTCTAGTGGCGACAGGCAACAGGATCGTTGTGGGGCAGGTCGCCCCTCTCAGAGGAACACACGCTGTTTCCGTTTAGGGTTTGTGGCTTACCTGCAGGCAAAGCCTTGTGCTTCAGACCTTATCATCCAAAGAAGTCGTGATGACCCGATGACAACTCACTCATTTCTCAGGGAAGGCAAAGGGCCGTTTTCATGTCTTATATCAAAATAGTGGAAATGCTACGCTTAGCATGGTCCGTTACCGTTGTTAGACCACAACATTAGAGTTGTTCTTCCCGCCGAGTTGCATGGATCTCTTCGTAGATGTTGGTGTACGGATCCCTATCGTCATTGGCAAATACCCCCTGGTAGCCAACAGGTTCGGGCCAGTACTTGACGGCATGAATTTGCATGTCGCTGGTCAAGGGCAGCCCCGTATCCATGTTCACCATCTCCAAGTCGGAGCAAGCACATGTCGCTGTGGAACAGCTCCATGGAGTCTGCATCCGCACTTGGATGGAGGCATTGGAAGCCAAGACCGTCCCAGGCAGTGAAAGCCATAGCGCATAGCTCGCTGCCTTGATCCATGCCATGTCTGGTCACCGGAGCTCGTGCCGGTTTTTGAGCAAAAGCAGCTCAACGCCCAGCAAAGAGCTTTTAATATTACATCTGCAGGACAAGAAACAGCGCACACAAGCAGAGGAAGCCTTTTCTGAATGTTTCCGGCCCTCTGGGACCTCCAAGAGCAATTCAGCACTTCGAGCGCGCAGCGAAGGTCTTCTGGGAGCGGCTCCCACGCAGAGCAGGTTTTGTGGCTTCCTTTTCTTTCGGGAAAGAGTTCCACTTCCTCCTGGAAGCTCAGCTGGTGCCGGTGCAGGAAATTTCGAGGACACCAGGTCAAGTCCTCCTCAAAGGTGGTCCATACGGCGTACTTGCTGTCACACACGATCGGATTCCCCACGTGTGCTGTGTGCACTCGGATCTGGTGTCGCCGACCGGTGCCTATCAAAATGCGCACCAGGCTGAAGCCTCTGTTGAAACCCAAATACTTCGCCATCAGTTCCAAATCAGAAATTGCAGGCCGCCCTTCTGGGCGCACCGAGCTTGCATCTGCGAACCCTTTTCGCCAAAACACGGGAGCCGTGACTTGACGATTCCGCAGGAGCCCATGGCACAGAGCAATATACTCCCGCGAAATCATGCCCGTTGACAGCTGTAGACGCAGGTCGTAGTAAGCAGTGTAACTGGTGGCCACAAGAATTAAGCCGGAGCTCGGAACGTCTAGGCGATGTAGAAACCCCCGTTGGTGATGCCTGGACTTCCACGTCACATCATATTCTCTGGTGCAGGTTGTGTTGCGATGCGTCCAAGGTGCAGGTCGTCCAACAGTGAGTGCTGCTCGCAGCGCAGAGCAGATCGTAGAAAGCCAGACAGTGGCAGGCCTTCACTTGCCAGCTGATCATCTACCTACCATGCAGAAGTCAGTGATCTTCAGATCTGCAACTCAGAGAACTCAACAAGCGGGCTGCAGCGCACCTGCCAGCCAGGTGGTTTGTGCAGCACCAATCTATCAGAAAGCTCCATGATGATGCCTGGGCTGAGATGCAAGGATTTTGCATTACGTGGAATCACGCGCTTGCAACTCAGCGACACGGCTGTGTCGCTTCTGATGATTCTGGTGCTTCTTCTGCCGCATCCGTGCTCGGAACCAAAGGTATAGTGGCGGCAGCATCCAATCTCGCACAAACCTTGTGCACCAGCTCAGCGAATCGCGGCAGCATGGCCATGGACAAGGCACCCGTCAAGTGGCAGGCCCAAAGCCTGAGGCAGCTCAAATGATCCTAGATCTGCAAAGCATCTCGTCGCCTCATCGCCTCATCTGATCTAAGCCCCTTGCACTTCTGCCACCACAGAGGCAAATTCCACCAAGACGTCTTTTGAAGCACGTGTTTGCATCAGCATCTCCCCTCTGCGGAGCAGATCTCCTCGAGCAGCAGTTACACACGACCACGAAAACCGGAGGTTGTCCAGCTTGCAGGCCTTGCAGGACAAGGTAGAGATGGGGAGCGTTCACGTCGAGGGTGGCCAAGCCCCACGCCTAAGCCGACCAGGAGCAGCTTATCGCATCTCAGAGACTTGCAGAAACTGGGCCAAGCACGAGGTTGGCACACATGCGCAGGGACAGAGTCTGCAGCGTACCGATTCTGGAGATCACCAAGCCAACAACTGCCTGCAGCAATCTGCAGCATGCAGCAGATGCGGTGGCCTTGTGCTCGAAGCGCCTGCCTGAACCAGGTTTCGATCATCCAGACCGACAGAAGCAGCTGACCAGATCCAGCTGCAAGTCTCAGACAATGTGCTGCCGGCAGTGGGCGTCGTCACTTCTACAAGAGCAGCCATGCCAGGTTCACCAGCACGGCTAAGCTTTGCAACCCGTCTGCTAACTTCGCTAAGTTCAGGGGGCAAAAGGTCTGGCATGCTTTTGCGCCCCCCTAACCTTAGCTGGCTCACGACCTCTCCCACCACCGTTGTGGTCTCCGTCAGAAGATCCTGGGAACTTGCAACAACACTATTGGCAAAATGCAGGGTGCTCGTTGCTGCTATCCGACCTACCATGCACTGGACCTGTGCAATCAGGGTCCTGAGCAACCTTCCACTGGAGGCTCTTCTCGCAGGCGCTGATGGCAGCACTGTATGCAAGAGCATCCGGTGACAGTCGAAACCGCGAAGTCCTGCCAGGAATAAGAAACCTGAGTGCTGCTGACATCTACGTTCCAACCCGTCCTTGTGATCTGCTCAATTGCAATGTGCCAGTGACTGGACTTCTGGATGGCGCTGGCAGCAGCGTCCATGGCAATCTGCCCCGGCAAGGAAGCCACCTGAAGTTGTTCCTCCAAGCACAGCAGGGCGATGAGCCATTTCATGCTTTTCTCCAGGCTGCTCGTGAGAGCGTTGTGACCCACTTCGCCCAGCTGCAGGTTCTGCGTGCAGGCTTCTCTGAAGATTCCGACGGCAAGCTGCCAGAAGCTCACAACCTCACAGGCGCTGAGGACAGTGTTCTGTGTGACCGCATCTACACGTACGGTCAGTGTCTGCATCCTTCCCAGCTGGCTCAGCGAAACTTCCCAGCGAGCTCCACTCTGCGCGGCTGAGATGGCAGCGTTAAACATGACGGTGTCTGGTGTTTCCTTGAAGCTCTCAAAGGTTTCAAGAAGCTCCAACGCTCGCTGCCACTGGCTACCCCGCTCGCAAGCTGCGATGGCCGCTGTGTAGGACACAAGATCACGTGTGCACATGTCGGCACCCTCACGGGAACCCTTGAGGGAGCTCTTGAAGAAATCCAGAGCAAGCTCCCAATGCCCACCGCACGCAAACGCATTGATGACACAGCTGCGCGTCGCCTCATCTAGTACCAGCTTCGAATTCCGCATGCTTTCCAGCAATGCCAATACAATCTGCCATTGGCCCCCGAAGCCACAAGCCCTAATTGCCGCAGCATATGGCACTGCTGATACTTGAAGTGTGGCCCTTTGCATGCACTGTAGGAGCCCGATGGATTGCTCCCAATTGCAATTCTGGCTGCAAGCCTCCAAAGCAATGTGGAAGCTCACCTCGTTGATGGCTTTAATGCCAGATGGAGACATCACAAATTCAATGGCCACTTGCCAGACTGCATGCTCTGAGCAGGCACGGACCACTGTGCTTGTGCTGACTGCATCTACAGCCCGCAGAGTTTGGAGGTGGGTGAACAGACTCAGCGGCAGGTGCCAGCCTTCGCTGGTAGTCGCAGTCATGGCAGTGGCAAAGCTGACGGCGCTTGGCCCGCACGAGGCCTTACAACGACCCGCATCCTGCAGGCTTCTGAGACACGAAGCGGAGGCCAGCCACTGGAGTGCCTGTGCACAACTGGACATGGCCGCGTTCTCGCAGATCACGGAGCCGTCGCTTCCTTCAACAGCGCTTCTTGCCGTGGCTGCCAGGGCTGCCAGGGACAAACTCCATGTCCCTGAAGTTTCTGCCCCCTCGGTGCTAATTATCAAGGATCCGTACACCACTAGATTCCTGCGAAGCGCCAGCTCACACATCCTGGCAAAGAGTTTTCACTATGTTCAAATTGCAACATGCAACCCTCTTGCGTGGCAGGTCGCATCAGGTGAGTCCTGGACATCATCTGCAAAGCCCAGCTCCAAGACTTTCCACGCATGGCGCTGATGCTGGAGCTGCAAGTAAAAATATCTGGCAGAACGGCGCTGCCTGCAACCGTCTGTGTTGACTCCGTGAAGGAAACTACACAACTTGTCGTGCATGTGCCAGCCGGCCTGCCATACTTTCGACTAGCGATAGAGCCAGGTGCCACGTCTCGCCTGAAGCCGATTGATTGGACAGGCCGTATCATGGCCACCTCTTGCGAAGGCAGTTGGGAAATGCTGCCTTGCTGGCTTTGCCACGAAAGGGAAGATCCAAAACTGGAAGCACCAGGGATGCTTGAACCTGGGACATTTGCAGGAGGACACTGACGCTAGTGCACGCTCCTGGCTGCTGCCGGTTCACCGTAGGTCACGACGTCCGGCTGTATGCCCAGACTCAGTAGGCACAGAGTTCGCTGCCAGAGACCTAGCACGGGCGGAGAGGCAGACAAGAAAGCTGCCACACGTTGGCCCACGCTGCAGCGATTAATCCGCAGCCTCCTTTGGAGCACGAGCTCACGGCAGCATTCCAAATGATTCGGTCCTGCATATTCTCCTTGGGGTCATAGGATCCAGCGTCAAAGCAACAAGGACGAATACAAATGAAGTGGTGCTTCTGCCAAGCTTCGTCCGCCATCCACTCAAGAAGATGCAAAGCTAAACGCCATTGCAGAGCCTGAGCAAAAAGGCACTAAAGCACCAAACGATTTCACCCAAACGGTTTGCCATCTCGAGTTGGGTACCTTCTCACAAACCGCAATTGCTGCACCAAGGTGGTAACGATTGACCTGCCCCGTGCCCCAACATTGCTTTCACAAAGAGCACTTCACGTCAGTCGTTCATGTCATGTCTCAGCGCCTCAACAGCTGAAGCAGACATGTACTTCAGGATCTCGATCCCCACCTGTCTTGCCAACTTCCCAACACGACTTGCTTCAATCTAGCTGGCAGACCTTGGGCATCCTCGCCCGGCGTAGCGAACGCAACGCCACCTTTGCAGCTGCTTTCGACTGTTGCCGCATTGCCTAGCTTCTTTCACTCTGCTAACCTCTCTGGAATCCAAAATTGACTCTTAATGCCAATGTGCTGTGGCCAGTTTCGGATTTGACGCCCAAGCATTGATGCTTGGCGCCAGAACCTTGGACACCTGGGGCAGGATACAGCCCGGGCCAGCACAAGCCATGATGCCAAGCCCGTCCTGCTCCTGAGATGGCGCTGGGCCAAGGGAAGTAAGCCGAGAGTAGAAGTCCACCGCCATGCTCCCAGCACAACGCAATGGACACTACGCCGCCTGCCATGCATCTAGCCTTGCACGAGCAAATGGAGCCAAATTACTTCTTGGCAGCGGAGCCCGAGCATACTTGGTAGAGCCCGCAGAGCTTCTCTTGCAAACCCGCTATTCGAAAGAATGCTCGAAGACCAGCTCTACTGACACAAAGTCTTCTCTTTTTCATGCAATAACAGTGCCAGGCAAGCTCCTTGAATCGGTCTCGTCTCGCAAAATGCTTCACGGTAGTCACTGAATTTGCAGCGAAACCAACACAAAGGAACGAAACTCATACGCTTCAAGGGGGTAATATGCTAGCCGGTTGTGTTTTGGCAGATCATTTGAAGGCGGCGCAATATTGCACACCTTATTGGGAGCTAGTCAGAGGCAGTGAGACTGGGAATTCAGGTGCAGAGGGGACTACCAAGGCGTGGTAGGGAAGAGACGGGCCTGGCATCCCGCTTCTTCCCTTTCTTTCCGTGCTCCCGCGTCCTTTTATGTATCTAGCGAGAGCATGTGTCCGTGTGGTGCATAAGTTTCTTCAACCTTCAGCGAGCACATCATGCCTACGCCTGGCTGGCATCCCGCTGCAGGCAATCAATTGCGCTTACCCCTCTCATCAAACAGCTTCATCCTTGTCCTCAGACTCCGCTGGAGTTGCTGGTGCCTTCCAAGGTCTCTAGGCCGCAGCATGACGACAAATGTTCTTGCTACGATTCAAGAAGCCTCCGTGGAAGGCTGGCTCCCCTCATCGATAAAGGTCAGGGTCGATTCCGGCAGCCAGGCCGTCAGTGAGACGGATGGAAATCGTACTTGCAAAGTGGCGTCCTCCTGAAAGACAGGCAGAGCATGGAAGAGCTGCAGGCCTCCAGAAAACAAAGTAAAGCTTGCGGCAGCCCCTGTTCCAGCCTTATCCTGCTGCACAACGAAACCTTCCTGGCCACTCAACTTGGCCAGTCTGTCGTCCCACTTCAACGCCGAATGGGCCTGACCGATCAAACTTACAAGGCAGGAACTTGAAAAGCTGCAAAACTCCAGCGAAGAAGCGGACGACTCCCACCACAACCATGACCGCGATCACGATCATGATGATGAGGACAACCACGACTGACTCCGACCGACGATCACGACCAACACCAAAACTTCCTCTTCCTTCCCAAGCTCGCGAATCACGGCGGTCATGACATTGCTGCTGCTGCTGCTGCTGCTGCTGCTGCTGCTGTTGCTGCTGACAACGATGCTGAGAATGATGATGACGATCCTAAGCATGGACATGAGGACGAGGACGAGAAGGAGGAGAACGAGGAGGACGAGGACGATGAGGACGGGTAGGAGGAGGACGGGATTGACAGCCACCGATTTCGTCGCTTGCCTCTACGGCTTCTAGGAGTTGCTCTGTGCCGCAAGCTCTCACTTTCTTGCAAGGCTGCGTCAGTTCTTCGAGCATGCCTCAGCAAGGGCGGAAAGGACGCCGGAAAAAGCTGTTGCCGGACGTCTGTACATTTTGAAAGTTGTAAGCAAAGCGGCTTGTGGGGAGCCATGCTTTGAAGCCCAAAGGTGGTGGAAATCGGACCTGCGCAAGGCACTTCACATAAACAACAATTATGCTTTGGAAGCTATCTCAGGCGAGCGCCTGTGCCGTAGCATCCGACTCGTCTTCTCTCAGCACAATACCCTCGCAACCGCAGGCATCTGCCAAGCGGTCGTCCCACTTCAGTGCCTTGGCTTGTTTGCTTTATGAAATCAAGAGTGCCAATATGCGCCAATGGGTTTTCCTTTTGCTTGGTCCGGCAGGCAGCCAAGCAGCACTGTGGGCCTCCACTGCCGGCTTCAATTCCTCCAGCTTTGCAACCCTCACTGTCCTCATGGGCCTCAGCAAAGAGGTAGCTGCAAACAAGGCTGAAGCAGTGGAAGCCAGGAAGCAAAACACACTGAGACGCACACTCCTGTTGGTCATTGATCAAAAGTCGGTCGAGGCCTGGAACGGATGCGAACCTCTACATCTCACAAAAACACTGAAGTTATTTCGAAACTACTGTAAAGCCTAGGCCAGATGACTCGGCCATGTCACGCAGGCGCCTCAGTGTCCCAGGCTCTGCGTACATTGCAGCATGTTGTGATGTCAGTCTGTTAGTCCAAGAAACGGGTTGTTCTGCAACATCTCCCATATCTGATCTCGTGATAAAGCACTGCCTGAAAGGTGGGGCAGTGGAAAAAAGTCAGATTCCCCGAAAGCACTCACAGCACTTCGGGATGCTTCAGATTGCCAGGCCTTCAGAGTCTCCTCCCTCGGCCATTGCAGCTGCACTCTCCGAGCTCGTCCTGGCTGACTGGATGTTTCAGAAAGCTTCCCAGCTGCCAGCTACATCCACGGGCAAGTCGGCAAGGCATGCAAGGCCCTTCTAAAGTGCTCGACTCCTGTCCAACCAGTTCTGGAACCATTCAATCCGCTCCGTTGAGCCTGGCGTCTGCAGAGTTGAGACTGCACATCGAGTACACGAGAAACTCGGTGCTTGGGTGATTTTCGGTGCACACGGTGTTTCGGTGCCTTGCTCGAGTTCCTTTCCAGGCCCTGGAGTGTACAGGCTCAGCTCTGCTGCCAGCTCCTTGCCAGCCTCAGGCAAACAGCACTGTCAGACACCCCCCCCCAACAAAGCGCACCGCACCCGCACCCGCACACATCCGCACCCACTGGAACCCGCAGAGACTCTCTCCTCTCTTCCAAGCTCCGCAGCTCCGCTTGGGGGCCCTGCGTCTGTTTCGGACCCGGCGTCTGCCAGCTCCTTTTCGCAATTGCGGTAGCGCCTGCAAAACGGAGAAGAGTGCAGGTGGGTGTATTGCATGGATTTCGTAAGGTCATGGCTTTTCAAGCGCTTGCGGCAGCGTTATCCCTGCGTGCTCGGCCATTGACGCATAGGCCTGGGACGAAAGAAGCAAATTCGTCGTCACCTTCTTGGCTTGCCTTTTGCAGCAACCGGCCTTCCGAAAAGCAGCATTTTCAGGTGCTTCAAACGGACCTGGAATGAACTCCACTGGCTCCCCTGGCACCTTGTCAGGAGGTTGGATTGGCACAGCAAGCTGACGTGGAAAGGGCACAAGGAATAACGGGATCTGCAGAATCGGAAAGCTCAAGGTGTTGTAAGGCGGACAACAGAAGCAATGGAAATTTGAATGAAATTTGTAAGGTGAGGCAAGGACTTCGCCGCCGCCGAGCAGGACGATCATACAGGAGAGGTTATCTTTGGAACCACATTTTATTGCCTGGCAGGCAAATGGAATAACATTGAAGCTTTTGGAAAGCTGGCCAAGCCTCATGGCAAACAGCAATCGCAGCCTGTGTTCCAAGAAGTCTGATTAAGAAAGAAAAGGAGTGAGACATTCCTCTGTAGGCGGCCTGTGCCGGATCAACAGGCTGGCCCTCAACTGACTGCAGCTTCTCAGCTGCAAGTTTCACGACGGCCTGTTGGCATAGACGAAGCTTGTGATTGAGATGATGATGCCATCATCTCAATCCGATTACTTCAAGCTTGGTGGCCAGAAGCACTCCTGCCTCGTTGGGGAAGCTGCCTGCGCCCGATTGGAACAGATTGCGCTGCATCTCACTGCATCTCAATCTTTCAAACTCACTTGCATCAAGACAGCAAGCCATGCCTTCAGAAATACCGTCACATACCAGCATCAAAAAATCGGTGGATTCACAGTCAAACTCCTGGCAGCCATATAGCCATATGGCGAATGTTAGGCGCTTTGAGTTGGAGTCTCAGCTTGCTTTCTGTTGCCTGAAGCTCGGGCGCGCAGCTCACAGGGTGGTCCTTCGGGCTTGGACCTGTCATGCAATGTTTGTGCTCACCTCAAGCAAGCATTTGCAAAACGGGTGCAGACCTCCCGTGTTCTTGTGCTGCGCGTCACCGAAAGCACGGCTAACGGCCAAATCTCCGTTCACCCGTGCTACTCCCATTACCTTGGCTTGCATTGGTAACTCAAAGAAAGATCTGGACATGGCCAGGGTTGCAGACCGAGTCTGGGCCGCAGGCTTCCTGGACATTCCCGCCAGTGCGCTCGATCCGTGCTCTTTCGCTCGGAAGGTCTGGCTTATGGTCCTGCGTGTCGGCAGGGCAAAACATCAGCTCTCAACTGCTGGCAAGCAGTGCACAAAAGCATGTCACTGCATGTAGCAGCGGTCCGTGGTGAGGCCGCGGTCAGTTCCAGGCCCAGGGAAGATCGAACCATCCGCCCGCCCCAGAAGCACACGGCTATCGCCAATGTTTCCAACCCGGAGGTGATAGTTGCCTGAGCACGGCGCTATTACTCAGCCTCCTCCCGATCCGATTTCTTACTGGATTCAAAACACAGATGCCCAGCGATACCTAACGCAGCCGGGATGCCTCCAGGCGTTGCTGGCGCTTGGACGATGACAAAGGTCCCGGTGGATCCACTAGGCTGATTGGAGTCAAGAAACTCCTTGTCTAGACGGAATGCCAAGTCTGTGACGGCATCATCCGTATCTGGCATGCCGGTTTTTGCAAGCTCTTCATTGATGCGTCTGGCTATGAATCCAGAGCACTGATCACCTCCGTGACCATCAAAGACTCCGAAGAACCCCCAGGTATCTTGGGCATAGATGACATGGGCATCCTCCATGCTAGGCCGCCATCCGTTCATTTCTGCAAAACCAACTCGGAAGGCGGTGCCGCCAACTCGCCTCAAAGTATCTGCATCACTTTGCAGCGCTGTGAACGATGAGCCTACTCCACGTGACATTCACTCTGATTCCTTTCGCTTCTTCGCCGAGCGGCTTGACCGCCACCGAAGTGACGGCCTTCGGCAAGCCCTGCCCCATGATTTGGAGGTGGCAGCTGCCTTCCCTGTGGCCCTCCTGGCAGCAAGAAACTCACTAAGCCCTTTCATGGAAGGCTTACTTCCCACAGCCTGCCTCGGAAACTCTCGTCGTTGGGCCAGCTTGGGAGCCCAAATTGCCACGGCGGCTTTGCAACATGCAAGGAGAAATGGAAACATTGACCAAGCAAACATGTCTTGCTTGCCTTCTACGCAGCGTGCTTTCACCAAATCATTTTACTACAGCGTGACCGGCATATCCCGGCAAGCTTAAACTTAAAACAGGAAAGCTCGGAGGCTCTTCCCACGCAGCCGCGCGCGCCTTCGACAGCGATGTGCGATATCAGAAACAGCTCCATCTATGAGCGGAGCACCTAAAAGCGTAGCAATCTGCTTAGCAATATTGCTGCCTTTGGCCTCTGCTTGTTGCAAAGGCGTCAGCCCACTTTTCGAGCTTTGGTTTGTGTCGACACCAGATTCGCACAGGATCCGTGCTATTTCGACAAAGCCTTCCAGGCATGCACTCAGCAGCGGCGTGTTACCTTCCAAGTCTGCCTGGTTCACCTTAGCTCACAGGGCTGTGGCAGAGCTGCTTGCATCAATCATGTGACAGCATCATGAGTCAAGGCACATTAGCACCAGCATCGCAAAGGAACTGGACTGTCTGAACATGCCCCGCGCGGCAAGCATGCAGGAGCGGTGTTCTGCCCCAGGCATCTGCCAGATTGATGTCCGCTCTGAGGTCGCAAAGAACTTGAACGACATGAGGGTGCCCTCGCTTGGCAGCGCAGGACAATGCCGTACGCTTTAGCTGCGTGCAGGCCCGGTCCATATCAGCACCTGAGCAAAGCTGAGCAAGGCTGAGCAAAGTACTACGAGTCATGACTCATGACCCCGTGGACACCCCTTGAAGCCATGCAGGGCACCCATCTCACAAAGAAGACGCACCACCTCGCAGTGACCGCGATTTGCTGCCAGGTAGAGGGGCGTTCTCAAGGACTGGTCGGTGGTGTCTGGATTCTGTGGGGCCTCCAAAGCCTTCTGCACCCTTGCAACATGTCCTCTTCTAGCAGAGGACATCAGCTGCTGCTCCAGGCCAATGACAAATGGGCTAACAACCAGCGTTAGCTCTGAGGCAAGCCGGTGAACAAGATCAGCGTGGTCTGCCAGCACCTCTACATCATCCAGGAGGCTTTGCTGGCAAAAGGGTATCAGGCAAGCACTTTGCAAGTGGCGCTTGACGTCTTTGATATACCGCACTTCACCCTGGGATGCAGCATGTCCGATTTCAAGTTCTGCAACAAGTTCTCCAGATACCCATTTGATCTTCAAAGTGGTGGATCTCCTGGGATCAGCATGCGACCTACCTTAGCACAGTGCAGGACAGGCGCCCACTTCCCTGTGCGAGTCTGAGCTTTTTGAGGACAGGTTGCTGGAGATGCTCTGGCTGGAGACAGAACATCCGCGCAGAGACCTTCGGCAGCCTTGGCGCCTGAAGCGCAAGCGCGCCCGGTCATGCAAGCAGCTGGTCCATGGCTGCATGTGCTACGATCTGTAGTCGTGCCAAATGTCACTTGTTGGAAACTTCTCTTCAGGCTGCGGCAACTGCCGCACTGGAAGCTGAAAGAGACCTGGATCCGCTTTGCAAAGAACTGCTTCAAGCCAGAAGCTCGCAGCCAATTCTGTCAAAGCGCAACGACAACGCCAAAAAGCCATGATTCGTGCTTGTCTCAAGTATTTTGCTCACCGCCACTCGAAAGCCAGCATGCGTGCGAGGGAAGCAGCACTTACCATTATAACGCCTGCGTGGTCAGTGCCCTGGCGGCCTTTCAGCAACCAAAGGCCAGCCACAATGCCGCAGGCCAAGATGCGCGGCAGCTCCTGGTACACTTTGACAGGGGCTGAGCCTACAGCAGGTGAGCCACAACGCCATGTCAACAATTTCAATACAATGCAAAGCTCCTGGGAAAGGTGCAATGAAACTTTCAAGCCCTTCGTGGCTTGGTGGTACAAGAGCTGCAGCAGCAGGATACCTGCAGCCTCTTGCCAGGGTGAGATCGCCGACCTCAGCCCACCACCAAGGTTCCAGATCACCAGGATGCCCACGTGGAGTACCATGAGGCAGAGGAAGGGCAAGAGGAGCAAACACCCAGCCCAAGTCCACCTGTTTGCAAATGCTTCTTGCCCAGTTTACTTGGAGGCAAGTAAACTGGATGAGCGAAGTGAGCCTGAGGCTTGGACCCCCAGGGCACATCCTCTAGCAAGGAGACCATGATTACAGCTGGCGTTGCGAACAAGGCCCAACCGAGGGCTCCAATCCAAGGCACCCCCAGGCAGTTCTCCTGCTTCCAAGACCAGAGTCCCGCAGAAACACAATAGACTTCGATCAGGTTCGCTAAAAGTGCCGTGTCCACGAAGCAGAAGCTGGCTTGTAAGGCAGCTTGTAGCTGGAGTCCCTGGTGAGGATGCCGCTTGTAGCTCCCGAGGCCGAGCCCCTCACGGATGTACCGCACCTCCCCGAGAATGAAAAGAGGCCATATCATCACAACCTGCAAGGGAGTGTTTTTTGTTGACAGTCGACTGCATGTGACTGCCTGAGACATCATAACTGCTTGTAGGCAGTCTGAGGCTGAGTACGTGCAGTGGGACATGACCGATGAAGATGCCCCAGTCTGGGGAGTAGCTGTAGAAGCGATACCACGAGATGCTGCTGTTCTCAGCCTTCACACCAAAGCATAGTGTGCACAGGAAACGAGGCAAGCACAATCACGTTTCTTCACTTGGCTTCAGGCCATCGCAGCCGAAACTGCTAAAGTGAAGGTCACTGGCAAAAATCCACCATCCAGGAATCGATAGCGCTGCCACATGAGCCCTGCCACCAGGGAGAGTCCAAAAAGGATTGCTGAGGACCAGCCAGCAATCTCTGCCATTGCCACAGAAACATGCTGCCCGGGGCATCCATGAATACTTGAGGTCAGGCAGGGCTTCCAAGGGTTCTGCTTTAAGCCTGCAAAGCCAGTGCGTGATTGGACCCAGCATCAGTTTCGCATTTCTCGCCAACGCCTGCGATTCACAGAGTCTGTACCGCTGCACTTGAGCTTTGGTGCGACATCCATCTCAGTTCGATGGCTCCGCGATGCACCCTAACCCGAAGCAGAGCTCCATGCTTGCTGCTTGTGCCATGCTCTGAAATGGGGGCTAATGGTTTCGTCCCCGCCTCCGGGTGTATTCGGCCACACATTTCTGTCTAGTACAGAGGGCACGCTGCTTGTGGCCAGCTGGTTCGCGCGTGCATTGGTGCATTGTTGGCCTTCATGATGATTCAGGGCATATCTAGTTGCAAGAAGCTGTCCAAAAGCGCCAGTGGAACCAGCTGGGAGCAAAGAAATCATTCGGACCCTTTCCTACAGGGCACAGGGCCCTCTGCTTTGAAAAGCTGGGTCACCATACCCCAGAAGATTCAAGATACCCGTGGTTGAGATTGCAAGGAGTCCCTCGAATCCCCTGGGCCAAAGTGGCTTGGCCGACGGCAAACCACCAAATTTCGCCTTCTAGGCGAAGTGAGACAGGTCAGAAGTGTGCGGCGGGCCGAAGTCAATCTTGCCTTTTGTGCATCGTTCCGTCTTCAGCTCCATCCGCACATGAGTCATGTTTTAAGAACCGATCCAGAGAGCCAGTGAGGAGCAGGTGGCTTGAATGTTCTAAGCTGTAAAAAGCTGCGAAGATTGAAGCAAGACATTTTGGAAAGAAGGAATGCTACCTGCTCCCTCGAATGGCATATCGATACACTGCGAGCTGCACAGTCTCATTGCGCGAGTCTGTGACACGGAATACAGCCGAAGGTTTGCTGTCATTTGCCCAGATTGCAGATATAGCACAGCCCAATGTATGTATTTTCAAGAAGCCTTCGAGCAAAGCTTTGGAGGTCTAGGGAACTCAGGGAACACCTACGGCATATTCGCCTGCACGAGGCACTGCTTGATGCATGGTGCCCATCGCACTTCTTGTACTAAGGTTCGCTCCTTAGCTTGCTGCTGCGTTCCGCATGCGCCCCAGTGCCGCCCATTCCTGGGAATAATGGACAAAGCCGAGGAGTTCTCGCAGTTGACAGGTAAGGCTGCGGCGTCGTCACGGTCACGGCCTCGGCCTTTGCCACGGTCCTTGCCTGGACTTGTGTCAAAGGCTTCATGCAAGGGGACTAGTGGAAGTACAAGTGACTAGTGCAAGAATCTGGGGACGCCGGCCACCAGCGCCAGCAGCACCGCCGCTCTTGCCTGTTGCACGGCTCTCCATACCCTAAAGCAATTCGTGCAAACACGTTCCAGCCTTGGCCCTTGCTGTTCGCAGCTCCACGGCCTTGGGATAGCTCATTTTCCGACAGCCCGCCGGCACGCCTGTGGCTGAGGTGGCAGCCCTTTTTCCCACCCCACGCCTTAGCAAGACGGACATCCGGCTGCTGCTTGCATGATGAACCCCGAGCGCCCCACATCTCCACCTTTCCATACACCTTGCATGCTCCACACTCAAGAAAGAACCACATGAAGAGTGCTTCAACCTTGCTCATCTCCTTGCCGGTCGTCATCCTGTGTGCGCATCAGCTGGCTAAAGTAGTCGCCGACACTGACATGCCCCAGCCCTGTGCCTCGTTCCAGCCTGAGCGGCCACCTACCGACAAGTTTTCTGGGAAGTTTATAGGATTCTTGCCACCTGACTCACCTGTTGCCACCCTGCCTGGGGCCATGCTCCGATCCTCATAGCCACCATGACCAGCACCTTTGCTCGTGCCGCTTGCGCCGCTTGCGCCGCAGTTGCCACCACAGCCGCTGCAGCCGCTGCAGGCTCCGCAGCCAGCTGCGCCCTGTCGGCATCCGGAACATCCGCCGGAGCAACCGCAGCCTTGGCACGCCCCGCAGCCTTGACAGCCGCAGCCTTGACAGCCACCACAACCCTGGCAGCAACCGCCCCATCCCTGGCATCCTTGCTGGCAGCCCTGGCAGCCCTGATAGCCACAGCCCTGGCAGCCCTGACACCCACATCCTTGGCATCCAGGACAGCCCTGACACCCTTGGCACCCTTGGCAACCGCCACAGCCATAGCAGCCCTGGCAACCAGCACATCCGCCACAACATGCGCAGCCACCGCACCCAGCGCAGCCTGGCAGGATGTGGAGCAATGAACGTGAACGGATGCGGAGGGAGAGGCACGGGCTTCTTCGAGAGACCCGCCTTGTCCAGATTGATGCTGCTGAGCCATTTGCTGCTGCATCATCTGTTGCTGCATCATGATCCTGGCATCTATGCACATGCCCATGGCTCCACTTCTCAAATGTTCCTGCATTCCTTTGCCGGCTACCGCCTTGTGCAGTCCAACTGTGCTCAAGCCACTACATCGTCGGGAAGGGAGGTCACTCGTCAGCTGCAAGTCCACCGGAGTGACTAACCGACTAACCGTGAATAAAAAATGAGAAGAAGATGTTTACTTAATTGTGTTAGTAAGCAACCTTCAACATACCGGTGATGCTGTTGCTGTTGCGGAGTCATCTGACCCATCCAACCGCCAGAGTTCATAGGCATCATGGCCTGAGAGAGACAGGGAGCTTTCAAAAGGAATTCTCTCGGAGCCTGGGAGCACAGCCGCCTGAGGATGCGCGTACTGTTGTTGCATGCCTGGTGAGCTGCAGGCCCAAGTGCCCAAGCTTATCGCAGCAAATCTCAAATCCTTGCTCAGAGATGCCTCCGTAGCAGGCGCCATAGGTCTGAGGGCCTTGACGGACACAAGTGCAGCTTACAAGCAGATGCTGCAATCAAACACCGCCGTACACCATCAGTTTATGAAAATTATAAGTCTGTTAGCCGCCAGAGGCCCTGACCAGCCATTCCTGCTGCAGGCCTGGCAGAAAGTCTTTGGAAGGACCGCTCTCCCCTCACAACCACGGTCATCACTCAGGATTCTGAGGCTCTGAGACTGTGGCTGTGGCTGTTGCGCGTGATGCGGTTGCGCTTGCTTTGGTTGAGGCTGTGCAGGTGATGGCTGTTGTTGAGGCGGCGGAGGTGGCGTCGGGATCTGAGGCCTGCGTAGTATCATCCAGGATGCGACACTGCCTTGCGCTTGGCACAAAGACTAAGGATGCGGCTTCTCACGCTCAGCCTGGAGAACCATGAAGGAGCACACAAGAGACTTTGGATGCTACCACTTTCAAGTCAACCTGCCGTGATGCCTGGTGCATCTCCCTTGGCCCTGCTTCCTGCGTGCCGAGGATGCTGCAAACACACAACTTAGCGGCTTAGCGTGAAGGGGGTAGAAAGCCTTGGCGGGAGCAGGCCGGTCGCGCCAATTTGTGGAACGAGAGGCCTCAGAGTCGCGGTCCCGCCAGGAGCCTTGGATAGGACTCTCTCTCTCTGTTCATCTTCTTCTACGGGCCTCCTCGCACCATCAACGGGCGCGCCAGAGCTGAGCCATAGCCCGGCAACATTCATTCCAAGCGGCCTAAACCTTCCATAAACATCATCACGTAACACTTCTTGATTAGACCAGAGCTTCGGACCTGAAATGATTTTCTCCAACGGATGCTAACAAGATTGCACTACCGCTTCATTGCGCGCTTCCCTGAGGTGTTGTGCGAGTAGTGTAGACAAGTCCTAGGGTTAGTTCAGCTGAGTGAACGCGCACACATAAGAACCTCTTTCAAGGTGATTGCACTCCTGGTTTGCCCCATCCATTCATTTAAGCTTTCTCCAGAGGCAACAGTAGCTCCCAACACGCCCTGGCCAGAAGTGACTTCTAGGTCAAAGGCAGCCGCTCCATGCAGACCCCAGCACTGCGGGATCCCTACATCCGCGGGCCGCCGTCCACAAGCTGTCGCGTAGCGACGCTGCCATCCCGCCGGCAACCCCCCATCATCAACCCGCGCTGTAAACAAGCCCGGCTTCTCAACCTCCAGACTCAGCCCTGCAGTCCGATCGCGGGCACTGAGGACGGAGCCCAGCCGGTTATGGCGCTTGGTTTGGTACGGTCGCCATCACACGGGGATGCTCTGGCACCTAGTTGTACCAAGTTACTTCCCATCACTACAACACATGTTATGCATTTCCCATCCAGTCTGCGACTGCCCGTGTGTCCCTTCTGCTGGCAGGGGTCAAGCCGTACGCCCTCGCAGTTTTTAGCTGCGGCCCTGCCCTGCAATAAATATCTCCTGTGCTCCCCAGCTTTCCTCTTTGCTAAGTTCCCTGGCAACACATTGAAGCCAACAGAAGGTGCCAAAGGCCCTATCTCTTTTCTGGTGGCCTCATACGTGGAATTTGTGCAAACCGGGCTTCAAAGTCCCTGGAAAAACAAGCAAACATGATGTCCATACAAGCTTCCTGCACCTGGATCATCTACACATCTAGTTTCTCTGTTCCCTTTGCTGGCCTTCCTCGAAGCTTGTGAAGCTTCTGCTGAGCTGCGCTGGGGTAATGACAACATATGACAACAACAGCAACAACTGCGTAACTCCCAACCTTTCTTTTGGTGCATATAGCATGGCCCCAGCAGCAGGAATGACACGCACCGGGGATGCGTGGCTCAAGCACCTATGAAGGCGCAGCATGTGCGCTTGGTTGTTAAAAGATGAGGGTGTGCTCTGAGGAGCTGGATGCATGCTTGGGTGTTGGGAGTCTATGAGGATTGGAGGCCCGTAACATGCCGCAGTATAGTCACTTGGATGATGCCTCGCCGAATCCTCCCGTCACTCCTTAATCACTTCCTCATCACCAGCTCAGAACCATCACTTTCGGGCCATCCTCTCCGTGAAGGGAAAATTGGACCTTTGTGGTTTTCTTGTTACAGGAATCTTTTCTTGTCGTGTTTTGCTCCGCCCAGTGGCTTGTCATTACTTTTGGGATTGCCCCCAGCTCTCTTGCCTCTATGTCACAATATGGGTCTCTCCACAAAAAGTGCGGCCAATGAAGGCTACGCTCGCTCTCGAAGGAGCAGGCCATAATTGAACCCCATTTCCCTAAAGCGCGGGTCCCGTCGAGGATTGTAATGCTGATATGGAATGCCAATCTGTAACAGAATACAAGTAGACACATCATTACTCCTTCTTCTTGTTCTTCTGGCCATGCCCACTCACGGAGGGTTGAGCCAGGGCTACGTCCTGAAGCCGCGCGCATGTCCAGTAGCTCCGGTCGGCCCGGGATATTGGTCTCTCTTCCTCCTCCTCCTCCTCCTCCTCCTCTTCTTCTATGCGCTATACGCAGTCCAAAGAGGACTGCGCGCGGGCTACGCCCGCAGCGCAGGGTATCTGTACACTTTCAAGACTGTGACTCCAAATACCTTGAAGGATCGGGTTGTATAGCCCCATCTTCTTCTCCCCCCTCCCTCTCCTTCTTTTTTGAAGTTCATGGCTCAAAATCTACCCTGCCTCTCTTCTTCTTCTTCTTCTTCGGGTGATGGGGGGCTCTACAAGCCCCACAGGGCCCAGCCCTGCACCCGCAAAGGTCTCAGCGTCCGCAGGTCGGTACCCCAGGGGACCGACGCTCTCTTATTCCATGGGCTCTGAGGACAGCGCTTGTTGTAGCCTTCGCCTCCGCTGCAGCCTTCTCCTCGCGTTCCTTCTGCTCCTTCTGCTGCTGCAACTTGGAGTTGAAAAAGCGCGGTGGGCCTCGCAGCATGTGGGATGCCGTCATTCTTCCGACACCCAAAAAGCCAGAACAGCCTGAAGCTGGTTTAGCTGCTGGCCTTAGCGCAGTATTGTCAAGTATGGTGAAGCATTGCATCCGTGAGCTGTATGGAACCTGCTCTTCCAGAGGCTGCCACGTAGTCGATTCAGGTCGTGCGGCAGCAGCTGAAGGGGTCGAAGGACCGCCCGTACCAGTGCTCCCGCCAAAGCGCCAGCTGTCCAGACCTGGCAGAAAAGTAGAGCAAGCTGTCTTCACCAGTGCTTTGCCAACGTGTTTGAGAAGTTCTTCCAGGCCTCCGCCTGATGGTGTCTGGGGCTTCGGGGGTGCAGCCTCACACATTGGAACCCTCACATGAGTGCCAAGGAGCTTATCAAAGGAACCTGCCTTCTCGGAAGACCTGGCAGACAGGCACCGAACGCAGAATGAAAACATAGTACTGTGCTTTCAATCAGGGGAAGATCCCAAAAGACTTGAGGTCCGTGCGGTGCGGAGCTTCCATTGAGCCGACCTGCAAGCGCAATGACCGGTCATCACTGGTTGATTCCCCGCGCTCTCGCCATGTGGACACCCCAATACTGCATCCACTCCCCAGTATGCCTAAGGAACCCTTCCTAAACCCACCAAAACCCACAATGAGACTCTACCCCACACGTGTGGTCCGCATGCATACATACATACATACATACATACATAAATACATACACAGACAATATGAACAAATTGTCATGAGCACCCCGCCCCGGCCAAGTGCGTCCCAGCGATCCTCCTTACAAAATACTTGAAGTTCAAACACCAACAGCGCCAACATTGCACGCACTAAACAGCTCATATGCATCTGCTCCTTCTTGTCCTCTTTTTTGTCCTCCTTCTTCTCCATGGCGGTCTCGCGCCTCTTTCCAATTGCAGCCCACCTAAATCGATTCAAAAGTTTGGTCTTGACAAAAATATACATGAGACGATGAACTCAGCTTTTGACTCAGCTTTCTCTCTGTCTGTCGCTTTAAAGGCTGTGGACCTGAAGATAGTTCTTTGCAGGACATGCCTCTGCCCCCTTATTCTACAGCTTAAGATGCAGGCTCAATGCTTGTCTTGCCCTTCTCCCAGGGAGGTGTGGCCTTTCTCAAAAGCACGGAAATAGCAGAACTCACAAAATGCAAGTTTTCGTCCAAGCCGCTGCTCTGTCCTTTCTTTGTACCACAGTAGCTGCCTGCAGTTCTGGGAATCATGCTAACAACATGGACGTTCTTGCAGACCCCAAGCCGCCTCCGCCTCCTCCTTGGCACGAAGCTCCTTCTCCTGACAGTGCTGACAGTGCATGCGCACTACCATGCAGCAGCCCCAGAAAGTACCACGAATAGAGGAAGTAGGGAGAAATAATAACAGTAGCAATTGTACTAGCTGTATAGTAATAATAACAACAGTAACAATAGTACTTATAGTCATAGTGGTAAGAAATCCTTTGGGGAGAGATTCGGTCTTTTCAGCCAGACCATTTGAGGCCTGGGTGCTTTCCCTTCGGTATCCCTTGTGCTGTCGGAAGCGCTGCTCCAGGGATTGGAGCTCGATGTAGACCTCAGACACCAACACACCTACAAAAGTTTCTGCAGTCTCTAGAATCTCAATACAGCAATAGGCTTTGAAATTCAGCAGTTTGCTTTAGCCAGACAGCCCTCAAAACTGCAGAGGAACTGGCATCTCTGATACGATGCGCATGTGCGAATTGCCCGGCTGTTGCTTGGCTGCAGACGGCTGAGTATTGGTCAACCTTCCCCTGCTCCTCCTTCGCAAGATGAGGATGAGGGGACCCTATCAGCACAGACGTATCTTGTCCTCCGTGAGGTGCTGCCCGTTTTCAACTTGAGCCTGGTTGAAATGCTGTTTTGCATCCATCGCCCCCCACATTCACAGCACCTGCCTTGAGCTCATTGATTTCTGCCATACGCTTGCGGCAATTTGCAATCAACGCCTGTCATATGCACTGTCGCTCCGTGACGAGCCCTCGCGCGGGAACATGTGGCAGCAAGCACTGTGCCAATGCCCAACCCACACGGTGTTGCCTCAAGGTTTTTCACCATGTAACTACCTGCATCGGGCAGCGGATGGCTTTCCGGGGCTCTGTTACCATTATTCAGGGGCAACAGCCTAGCCTGCTTCACCGGGGCCCGACGGCGCGAGCTCTGCGGCCTGGCGTTTGGTCAACACACTGAGCGCATCCATCGAAAAGATGCTGGAAGGCGCACCCAGTTCGGCATGCCCACGTTGCGATCGAAGTCCAGCTCTTCGATGTCGCACGTGGAGTAGTTGATCTTCACGGCCTGGTTCAACTCTGATCATCGGATCTTTCAGAAGCCGCCCAACATCCCTTCAAGCGCCTTGATGAAGTATTTCACGGGAAGCCAGCCATCCAACCTGACGCTGGAGGCAACGATGCAGATACGGATTGCCCAACTCCAGACTGTGGCACGCGCCCTTGAGTCAGAATGACCTCATTCTTGCTCCTGTAAAAGATCATCCCATCCTGCATGGAGCACATTGAATGCGAAGCAAGAACACACGCACATGCACATTTGTCCTGCATGGCTGCAGGGACGTCGATGTAGAGGAACAGCTCTGCCGTCGAGCGCATGCCACGAATTTTGCCGTCCTGTCAGCTTCTGCCAGCTTTCCAGACCGACGAGACTGACGGCGAAAGACCCCTTGGTGAGAGAGGCTGTGCCTCAGGTAGACCAGGTGCGAGGTGGATGTGGTTCCGCGCAACCTGCCACGCTTGTGCAAACTTGTTTAGCTTTTGCCTCTCCTGCTCTGACCGTGCCTTGGACAAGCCTTGCCGCTTTATGAAAGGCCAGTGCACAAGGTAAGTACCGTGGACGCAATCCTGAACCTGGGAAGTCGAGGCTGTCAGAGCCCTTCGCAAAACACTCAGAGCGCACCACTGTGCTGGGATCCGTGATGGGCTCAAGCAGCAGATCGTCTTCAACCACCTCATTTTTGCGCAGAAGTTACGCAGCCTTTTTTGGACAGCATTTGCACTTGTCCGCCTTCATGGTATGACCCTGATTGGCGCGAATCAAGAGCTCACCGTCGAACTCCCGAACCTAACGGAATAAAAAAACAATGGCCAGGACGATGAAAGTTTTCGCCAACTTGGGGTTCTGGCCATGGTATAGCGCTCCTTCTCATCGAAGTAGACGCAAGCCATGAGCTCCTTCCAGCAGCTTTCACATGCTTCGATGTGCTTCCACCGCTGCAGGCGCCTCCAAGTTGTAAGGCCGGAAGTTCTTCAGTTCCATGATGTCACGCAGCCGGACAAAGCCATCCTGAAAAAGCAAGAACGAGGCAAGTTAGCTAAAACTGCAGCACATTCAGCGCCCACCTTCCGGATTCTCACGTCTAGCTTGTGGGCAGCATGTCGAAGCACGTAAGAAAACCTTGGCAGAAGCTGGGCTGAACAGCTTTAGCGCAACATGCCAAGGCCAATACATTTTGGAGATCTTCACGTGCTCGCGATCCTCTGCCATTCTGTTGAAAATCGGCTCCAACTGTGCCTGCACGCGGGCGCTGCAGCGCAAGATTCTCCAGCTTGGCAAAAAGACAGCAGAGTTGAAAGGATGAAGAGTGTTTCAAGGCAGCTGAAAGCGTGCACGAATCTCCTGCGCTACATGAGCATGAATCTCCGCTGCTCGGGGCTCAGAATGCGGAAATGCATGGCCATCCTGATGCACAAATTCCACCAGGTTAGAATACATGTCTCGCAGGGAGCTTTCCCCTCCTTGGAAAAAGCTATCACGGGCCGCGCTATAGATGCGCAGAGTGGGCTGATCAGACACGAAGCCGGCGGGCCAATTGAACACTGGGTCGTCGATCTGACCCCCACAGACCATCACTGTCAGTGCCCATGGAGCTTTTTTCCCACTCTTGCGGAGCCTGTCTAAGGCCAAAGAGATGCAGTTGGAGCCCTGCGAAAAGCTCAACAACACATGCACAGGTGATCTCTCTTCAATGTAACCTAACAAGCTGGCCACGCCCTCGTCCACGAAATTATAGCAGCTGTTCCCATGTGAATACCAACAACGAAACGGCTCACCCTTTGAAATTGTCTTCTCCAGTTCACTGGGCTCACGAAAAATCGGATCGTCTGCACCTGCAACGGATTGCCAAACAAGTGGCGCATCCATAAAGAGCCATTCTGCATCTGGCAGTGCCGCTTTTAAGAAGCGTACTTGAAACTTCATAACTGCACTGTTGGAGTTTGCCCCGTGCAGCGCCAAAATCCGCAGCTTCTTTGAAGTTTCAGGATCTGTTGACAGGTCTTGGACGTGACTGGGTGGCGTCAATTGTTCTGAAGACCTCGGTCGAAGCAAAATGCTGCGAACGTCCTGGTCACTCTCCTCGTCAATCAGACCCGGCACTCTTGCCGCAAGCCAGTTTTCAGCAAAAGGCCTCCAGTCTGCCACGGCTCTCGCTGCGCAGCAGCGCACACGCCAGCAAGGGTCATGAAAGAGATCCAGTACGCGGGCTTTGAATTCTTCACTTTCAAAACATGACTTCATGGATCTCATCGCCAAGGCAGCCTCACATCGCACTGTGTGATCGTTGTCAGAGAAAGCCTTTGACACAGCTGCTGCTGACGCATCAGACGCTCCCATGAAAGCCAAAATCCTGAGAACTTTCCGTTTCATCCGGAAATCTGCCTGGCCCTCTGCCTTGTCAGTCAGCAGATCCCCTAAGCAGCTGATGATCTCTTCTGCCTCCCCAAGAGGTACATCCTGCACGAGCGGGAAGGCAGCGACGAAGCTTGAATCCCGAAGATCTCGGACCAGCTCCAGGACCTCACGGCTCCGTCCCTCCAGTCGCTTCAGCAGGACTTTCTGCTGGACGGATATGCTGACCCAGCCAGTCACAGGTCCATGGCCCAGCAGAAGCCGGTATCTCAGCCGCTCTCGCAGCATCTCCTCTTCCTGTACTATTGCTCCAGTCCCTAAACGCTCCGCGAGCTCCTCAGAGGTCACGCTGCTACTTGCGCGCACCAAGATACCTCCCTTGGAACCGCCGATTACTCGCCAAAGAGCTGGCAACAGCTGCACCAGGTCCTTGCCTGTTTGAAGCCTCAGACTTACCCAGCCTTCTGCCGGGCCCTGACCACAAAGCTTCAGGAAGTGCAGTCGCTCCCCTCGCTGCTCAATCTCCTTGATTATTGCCCCAGTGGCAAGGCGCTCCGCAAACAGTTCCGAGCTCACATCCTCGCCGCTTCGTGCGATGATCCCTCCCTTGTCGCCACCACCAATCACCCTCCAAAGCGGTTGCGCCCTCTCACCATCTTGCATCCCAGACACCCAGAGATTTATTCAAGAAATCAAACTAGCGAGTCTAATTACACCTCCCCTTGCCCAATATCTTGTCGCCTGGAGCTGCTTCCACCTGATCGAAGTCAGACCTAAGATTAGGGACAGCCTGATGGTCTGCTCTATTCACATAAGGCACTGCTGAAGAGCAGGGGAACAACAATTGTCGCAGTCAAGAGCGGCGTCGTGGCTATTAAGTGGCAGTGGTCATTCTCTGACCCAGCAACTCCCCTACTTGCAGCAGCTGAATCTGATGAACGAGACTGCCTGACCCAAACAATCCGGTATCATCAACACATATCAGTCTGCAGGCGTGCCTTGTCACCATCTCGCTTTAGATTCCATCGCTTACCTTGCGATGACAGCGTGGAGAGTGAAACTTCAAGGCTCGGCCAAACAATTGTGCATCTACAAGCCTCCATCATCATCTTCGTCATCCTGCACAATCGCATGTTTTGTCCATAGCATGCCTCTGAACTTGTACACTAGATACACTTGATATGGCCATCACTTGATCACACATGCTTGACCACTGCGCAGTCCAAACCAGGAGGCTGCGCATCTCCACCCTGTCCCTGCCACCGCGGTCAAGCTTGGCATTGCGTCATCCAACTGCAAAACTACACTGGATGCCTTTGACGAGGATGCACCGCCAGCGTTCTCGCCTGATGATGCTCCAGCATGTGTCTCCGTCTGGCCGTGAGAAAGCCTAAAGCTGAGCTGAGTGCTGAAGTCGTTTAATTCATCCTCGTCCTCTTCCTGCATCGATGAAGATAGATAGACATCGACAAGTTTCAGCACAAGACTTTGCAAGCCTCGTCTGCCGATTGGAAGGAAGCATCTGATACAGCATCCTGGAAAGTGCGGGAACAGAGCCGCATCTACAAGTCGTGGAGTGTTGGATCGCTTCTCTCCTCATCAGCCTCACCAGACATCTCTGGAGAGCTGCCTGATACCAGAACGATTTCAGGGCGATATTGAATCTTCCGGACAAGTCTCCAAATCTACCCCCAAGTAGCTTCATACTGAGGCTGGCGCATCTGGGAGCTCGCCAATACTCTCAGCGCATCTACCCAAGGCCCGCAGCAAAGCACTTGATCTGGCTTCTGGGGGGCCAAGGGCTGCGGAAAGTGTTCATGAAATGGACATGGAGCCTCGGGAATGTGCTTCATAGCAGCTGGCCGGCAAACAAAGTATTCCCTTTTTTGCGTTGCTCAGGTAAAGGATGTCAAAGCTCGTGGTCGGAATGGGAAGAACCAAGCAAGCCCTGGCGTGATGTAAGGCCAAATGAATGCCCTCAAAGCGACTTCATGTATTGTAGTAGTCTAGCAAGACCCAAATTCTCTAGCCTCTTTACCTCTACTCCGCCATGGCATGCAGCCTTCCGTCCTCTCAGTGACCTGAGCCAGTACGTTGTGTATGTGCATTGGATACATTGCAGTGCCGGAAGAGGCCCTGAGGCCTGCGAGGCCTAGACTCTTGGTAGGCAGCTTGGAGGAGGCCACCTGCAATGCATGCCACAGCTTGAGATCTTTTTCAAGAACTTACTCTCTTGAACCGCCAATGGCCTCACTGAGGACGGCAAGGTATCCCTTCAAGTAATCGAAGGGGGAACCGATTCCAATATCCTTCCACACTTTGAAGGCCTGCTGCACAGAGAACAAGCCGGCTACCCAGGGATAAAAGACAAAAGGCGCCCTGCGCTGCCTCGCCGACCTCCTCCCAGTCGACGAAGGGTGCCTCCTCATTCCCCCACTTGTCCTTAGCTCTTCTCCCCCTGCCTACCCTGCTCGATTCTAACATGAGTGTTGCTTCTCGGTCACTCCCTAGGGCACTCGCAGAGTGGCCCGGCCAAGTGACGCCCCAGACGTACGCGTGGCCTCAGCAGGCTCCACATCCCTTGCGGCTTGCCAAGCATCTGCCCTCGCACCACAAGCCTCCTGGCGGGTACTTCGGCTTTAAGTCCTGTAAGGCACTGGGAGAAGACAATTCACAGTCTACGTCTGTCTTAGATGCTTTACTACATCATTATTCTCTGGAAGATTTCCCCTAAATGTCCTTGACTGGGTTGATCAGGGCCAGCGCTGCCTTGTCATTTTTCTGACCTTGTCATGAAGACCCTGCTGCAGCAAGGGGATGAACCCCACAGAGCCCCAGACTTGTGTTCAAGCCCAGATCCACTGCTGGCTTGACTCGCGGTATCATCGTCCGTGTGACAGACTTCACGGCCTGACGAAAAAGGCGACACAAAGGAACCCACCAAGACCACTGAACAGGACCAAAAATGCTCTGCTGCCTGCATCCTGGACCTCAGTATGGCAAAACTACTGGCTGGGCACGACTTGGAAAGCTATCAGCCCAAACTGCATGCTGAGGCGATGCACGCCATGGTCGCACTTGTACCAACAGGGACCTGAAGAAGTGAGTGACCACGATGAATTTGCAGACATCATGCGCAGATTTGATCGAGCAGGTCCAAGCTGAGGACCCACACAGGCAGCTACGGCGTGTAGGGCACTGACACGGCTTGAGCACATGCATAGTACATGCCATGCAACGCTCCTGCCCCTGTGACAACAAACGACTAGTGTCCAGTCACGATATTCGATGCAAGAACTTGCATCTTGCGGGATGAGCAGTGTTGGCTTTTTCGGTGGAAGGCACAGAATTTAAGAGCAGCGGCAGGATTCCAGCATTCCCAAGGAGTGGGATCTTTGCCGATCTCCTTGTCCTTCAGCTCAGAGTCAAGTCCACGTCTTTGGCGGCATGGTGCTCTTCGAGGCGTCTCATCACAGGTACGAACAAGCTTCCGGAATTGGCCGAGTGCGCTTCATGAGCTGCAGAGGCTGCAGCACCACCAGACCAGGACCAGGCGGGCGCTCAGGAACTGTCCAAGGCTGCCGGGGCTTTTACAAGCTTGCAGCATTCGGTCTAGACCTCAGGCAGGCTAAAGTAAGGGCAGACAACTAACAGCGAGGAGGCTTTTGAAGGTGCCGGCCTGCGAGTCGCTGGCATCAAGGTCGGACCACATTGGCTTCTGAACCTTCACGTGCCATCCCAGCCTCGAGCATATTCGAGCACAAGCTTTCAAAATTCAGCAGAAGTGCTGCCTATCTTTTTGTCCCAGCCACGCTGCACCCATTTGCTCTGCAGCAAGGTTGCCAAAGCGGATGTGTTCCGTGAGGGCATCCACCCATTTGGCACAGGTTTCAGCATTCTCCGCGTCAAAGGAGAAAGACCGCCAGGCATCGCCAGTGAACGAGGATGGCTCACGCCAACCGTGTGACTCTGCAGGGTGGATCTCGAAAGCTGTTGAAGTGCCACCCTGCTGTATCCGGGCTCGATGCACGAGGAAATTGATACAACCCTTGGCCTCGCCTTTCGTTGACACGCCCTCGTCATCAAACCACATGAAATGACCATCTTGCACCACGCAGAACCGCGGCTGCTGATCTACGCGGAGAAAACGCAGCATTGCCCGCAAACGATGTGGACTTGACTTCAGCAAGGAACCGCGTAGCTTTGGCAAGCTTGGCAAAGAGTCGAAGGCAAACTCCTTCGTGCGTGTCACTGTGGTACCCAGGGACTTCCAAGGCAGGCACTCCGGATTTCCACCTGACGCTGATGCCATCTACCCTCCCTCCGTCTGCCCCGTAAAACACCGCTATGGCCAAGAGCAGGACCCTTCTTGCGGTGGAGAACCGTTCGGCCTTCCTCCCGGAAGAGCTGCTTGGTAACAACCTAGTTCTCGATGTGATCCCGTGCCGCCGCGGCGCTACATCTCTCAGGAGCCCGTTGCCACCCACAAGAGACTTCGCGCTACTGACCTCGATCTCGCGCGTCTCCTGCACGGAGTCTCGGATCTCGTTCCCAAGAGCCTGGAGCTGGAGCAGAGAAGAACTGCTGAACTGCTACCAGTACATGATTCACTGTGCATATTGTACCGCAAGACGGCCTCGTTCTTGGCCTCCAGCCAGTGCCAGAGGTCCCAGACTTTTGCGGAAAGCAGTTGCCGAGCCTGCAGGACATCTGGCAAACAGTCTCCACCCAAACAGTCTCCACCTCATCTTTGGACGTGTCTGGGCTCATGTGGATGTACGTTGCTGGCCTCTGCCTTCAAGGCCTCACAATTCAAATGCCCGGAAGCCTGGTCAACTCATTGCATCCGACAGCATCTCCTGGACCAACCGGGATCAGCCTGGCCTCGTCAAATCGAGTCAACGTTGCCTGTATGGGGCTCCTGCAACGAAAGAGATATGTAAAAAAACACTGAGTCACAGGGGGTCTTTGCAGCTCCTGTCTTCCAAGGCCGGGTCGTAATCGGACAGCTCTGGCAGCTGTGATTGAGCAAAGTCTGTCAGATCCTGAACCAGCGGCATCAGGAAGCCTGCACGAAGCTGCAAGCAGAAACGGGCGAGGAAGACTGCGTCAACTATGAGCTCAGGCCAGGGAAAAGCGCACCTTCGTAGATCACATACCTCCATGCAGGACATTGCAGGACAAATACGGAGATGTCAAGAAGCCAGGTAAGACCATGCATGATCATGCATGATTTCTGACCGTGATGCGCACCGGTTCATTGACGGAACATTAACTTGCTGGGACTTCTTCACCTCTGCTACCACGAGCTCCATCACTCCGGCGAGATGCCTGCAACTCTTGAAGACCAGACATGCCAGACATCGGGTAAACATGGTCAACCAACCCCGGCCTGCCACCCACGAACACGCCACCCATTTCCAATGGTTTTCTTCGAGTCACCAGGTGCGATCTCAAGGCACGCACAGATTCATCAAACGCTGGCATACCCAGGAGCGGGACCTGAAACAGGACGCAGACAAGGCAAAGTTCAAGTTTGAAGCTGGGCATCAGGCAGTGAAGAAGCTTCGGTCAGGGAAGCAACTTCGGACAGTATCTCGCAACTCCTCCCACACTGGTGTAGCAAGGTCTAGCTTTGCATTTTGATCAAGAAAACTCGCTCGAAGAGAGTGTACTTTGATTCATTGATGCGAATTGTGAAGTATGCTTAATCCTCACGCGGGGTCCTGCCGGCCAGGGTCGTCAAACTTCTGCTCCAGTATCTTTTCTAAGGCAGAGCCTTCGTAACGAAGGGTGTTTTTATTGACCACGAAGACAAGCTCCTTGACATACTGCGCCATCGAACAAGCAGCAACTAGCACGCACAACTAAAAGCACTTGCTATCACAACCGTCGGAAGCAAAGGCTTCTGGCTCAGCTCCTGCTCAGGAAGCTTGCATGAGTCATCCAGTCGGAGCAATGATCTTGCAGCCAGGGATAGACCTTTGAAGCCGCAGTATGCCACAATTGAGGGTGACAAAGATTCTGCTAGGAAGGCTTCCGGAGCTTCCATCTTAAGAAATGTTTCAACGACAAGCAGACCATCGCTGCACAGGCTCTCACGTCCCATGCCTTTCTGCCTTGTATAACACTTTGGGGCCGAAAAACTTGGTTCCCTGCCCAGCGTCTGCAATGCCTGCTCTGTTGCCATACCTCATGTAGAAAGCGCCACGGCTCTCGCCACCACCAGCACTCTTTCTAGCTGAGATGCCATTGGCGACGAAGACAACCTTCAGCTTCAAGGACCGCAGAGTCAAAGACCCATGCACTTGCAGGCAGAACCTGGCTCCCGAGCAGCAGCCCGAAGACGTTGACAAGCGTCCTGATTGCTGCCTGAGGCAACACGCCTTGAAACAGTACCTGTGGAGCAACACATGTTGCCAAGGCACCATGGCATTGTTGCCCCCTTCGCAATCCAAAATCAGCAGTGTGTCAGTAGTCGTCATGTCCTTCAAGAGGGCATCTAGAAACTCACTCACTCAGTCCTGCTACTGATGCAGGCATGGTGTCCTGGGCATTCGCGAGACCACTCAAGCTTCTCACCGGCACGGCGACCGCGTCGATCCCATCCGTGACCGACTCGGCCGAGTCACTGGAGACGAACACATCCTCCGTCAGCTTGTCTGAAAGTCTCTGATGTTCGACCCCCCTCCACCAGCCTGCGCACCGACCAGGCAGGAGGCCAAGTAACTTTTCCCGGCACGTCCATCCCCAACGAAGATCACCGGACAGATATGTCCTGTACACCACACAATGGACCCTGAGGCCCTGAGGCAACGCTTGCCAAACCGACGGCGTCCTGATAGCTCTCGCACCAATTCTGCACCCTTGGCAGGGCAAGATTGACTACTACCCAATTCGAGCACAAAGTCTGGGGTATGCCTCAGGCACAAGAAGGGCCTTCTCGGAAGGGAACCTCAGCATCACCCGATGATGTTGAGGTAGCTACGACAGCGGTGTGTGCCCTCTACCCTGCTCTGCCCTGCATTCCATGAAGCTTTAACAGGGGCTGTGCTTTCACCGCAGCCATCGCGCCATGAAGCAGTTACGCGCAAAGCGCATGACAAGGAAGTACCTCTTTCTTGCCTGCACGTTGCCCCATCTTTGAAATCCACTGGCTAGCTTTTCGCATGCACTTTCAGAAGACAAGATGCGCTCTAAGGCTCTAAGACTACTCACAGCTGAATTTCAACTTGTGGTATGCACAACTTCCAACCCCTGCACGCATAAGAACACTTCACTACAGCTTGGGCTTCTGCGCGGGGCTGCAAGGCTGCAATTTTGCGGGCAGTCAACGAGAGGAAAAAAGAAGAAAGAGAGCCCAGCATCTGCAACATGTTCTCGACACGCCTACACAGCACACAGCATCACACTGACCCGTGTCATCCTTTTGGGCTTGCGCATCATCTTGGCTCACTGAAGAGAGATCTGCGCTGGAGAGTAGCATATGCTTCCAATCACAGCCACAGCACAACATTTGTTCTAGGAAGAGCTGGTTGGCGGGGCACCCCGATGCTGATTTCTACAGGTACTGCACTGGCCCCTCACAACGACCATTCTTCATCAGCCGCCTCACTCGCAGCTTGTCCATGCCCTCGCCCCGATCGATCAGCCACTCCTGGGAGTTCGGCACAGACTGTTTCGTGTCACAGGCTGCAGAAATGGGCTAAGCTGGCGACCCCATACATTTCGGAGGCACCATTCCCATCAGACTGGCACACAGAACAGCAGACTGCCGAGGCTGTGCAAGAGGTCCCACCGAGCAACCACCTTTGAACTGACTGACTTTGACTGACCTTTTTTCCTCCTCACAGCTGGACCTTCCCTTCTCAGCTAGGCCATCACCCTGGCAAACAACATCGCTTCTTAGAACTAGTTCTGCAGCTGGGAACCAAAAAAAAACTTGACCCCGACTTCTCCTGTCAATATCCTTTGTGAGATCACACTTTCAGACCCACCTCCTAAACATCTTGTCACAGAACTCAACTTCCCAATTCACAGCTGATACTGCTCCATATCGTGGCAAGACATTGCTTTCACATCTGGAATGCAGCTCCCATGAGGAGCTTAAAGGTTACTCATCTAGATGAGCACTTATGGTCTTCAGCATGCTCCTCCACAAGGCACCAAATCACCCCTGGGACAGAAATGACCATTTCGTTTAGAGTAACCCACCGGTAGAGTGAAGTGTCATACTCATGCACTTTATTCAGCTACGAGGACATTAGGTCTTCCAAGACAGGTAAACCTAAGCATGTGACGTGCTCTCAGTGGCAATGTGTGGACACTCCCTTTACACCTATGAAGTCAATCTGACCTTCAGATTGGTGATCATCCGCGTTGGTGGCGTGGCCTCGCGAGTTTGCGTTCACTTGCGTCCAAGGCTACAAACGCTTGACCAAGCCTCGCAGTACCGCTCGACTGCCACATTGGAGGCTAGATACATGACCTTGGCCACACGATAAACCGTTTCTGAGCATAAGATATTGCTTCCCTGCGCCTCGTCCACCATCTGCAGCCCCTCCTTGTCTCCAAGCTCTTTGAAAATGTTGCCAGCTTGGTCAGAAAAGTCACGTCCCTGAGGGAGAGGGTGCTTCCAGACCTTCTTCACCTCAACCCTACTAGTCCCCATGGCAACATTGCACTGCTCACATTGCGTCCTCATCTGCCAGAGCCTTTGCCTGGTCTGTTGGCAGCATATGCTCCTCGAGTGACCAACACACAGGCCCACAGTTGCCCAAATTCTCAAGAACGTCAAGCTCCGATGCTAAGCCTTTCCCTGCCAGCCTCCGCATTCAGCCTGCTCAGGGAAGCTTCCGCAGCAAAAGTCAGTGATTCCGCTTCACCACGTCGGTCCTCCAAGCGGGGCAGCAATTTGCATCCCGAGACGCTCAGTGGAGACTGTCCAGACTGCCTGCATCTGCCTATAGTTTTCCACGGCCTCCCGCAAGGCTTCACAACTCCAGATCGTACTAGAATCGTCTTCCTGTACGCTTCGCCCGTGGCTCCAGCCTCTTTGATGGTCGAAATGCTTTTGTCGAAGTTTCTGTTGAGAGACTCCACTCTGCAAAGTGTCTGGAGAACCGCAGACTGGCCAAGCAGGGCAAAGGACATCATGGAAAATCCAGAGCGCAATGCAGCTGGCAATCTGCCTCAGCACGGCGCCACTGCACGGTTCTGAAAAGCTTCAGCGCCTTGGTAGCAAAGCGGGATGGTACTTCAGGTTGCAGCTCGAACTCTCTTGGCGGCCGGCTTCTTCGCAGTATTGTGCTGCTTTCTCCAGCCCCTCCTGGCCCATGCAAGGTTCGTCATGTCCAGGAAGTCAGTATGAAAACAGGGAACTCGGATCTCCGCTCCTTCTGCTGAAAATAGATGGAGGCCGCTGTGTGCAAGGCTGTGGCCACGTGCTCTGGCCTATACTGGCACAAAAGACAACTGTCGTGATGTTTCGTTAGACATGCCAGCCGGCCTGCCACCTTCTTCTTTCCAATCTTCTGCCGCATCCTACACATCAGGGTCTGGCAAGGTACATGCACTTGGCAATCTGAGGCGAGGTTTCACTCGGGAACTCTTGATGGTAGCTTCAGAAGCTGTACCCTAGTTTGAAGTCATGTCTTGACTGCGGGTGATGAGTGTTGTGTCATGCAGGAAGCAACAAAAGCGGTCAAACCTGCGCTCCTAAGGTTTTGGACCCTCAAAACATGGAGAAGAGTATTGAATCAGCGCAGCTTCGACCAAGTTGCGGGACGCTGCCTATACTACTGTAGAACACTGTGTCCGAACGACGAACCAAGTCTGCAAAAGCACAAAGGCGCTGTGTTCCATAGAAGGACAACATCAGCATGAATCGTGACGCCGCGAGTTCACCAGTTCTAGCTGCTCAGCAGATATCAAAGCATGGCCGCAGCAGAGCTTGCAGGAATTTCAATAGGGCCATGTGAAACCTCTCTCCCTGTCTTGCTTGAGTTGTGTTTGCTTGCTGAGGTCTTGCTTCTGTTGCACAGGTGCTACAGCGTGCTGAAACCTCAAGGTTCAGTGGGCACCCAGCACTTACAGCTGCCAACCATACTCTGCAGCCAGATTCCAACAGAGGCCTCCGCCGACAGCAAAGCACAATCAAGGCCAGACGTAGTGACTCGGCACCTAGCGTGCTTGGCTCATCTTCCTAGTCCTTTGTTGGACTCGAAACCAAGAAGCAACTTGCTAAGGCCGAGGCTTGACAATGATCATGACAGCGACAACTTCCAAATCCCTAAATCCAGTGATCAATAGCAATTGCAGGAATCCATGTAGCAACAATGCAGGCGAAGTGCCATTCACCTGCTTCATGAAAAAGGTCCTGTTGCGAAGCTCCAGCTGCTGCTATCTGCTAATTCAGCCACAACAAGCTCAACAAGCCCAGTGTCCTTGGCATCTTCTGCAAGTCTTTCACCATCCATCTGCTGATCTTCATCTTCCACTCCTTGCACCCGGATTGTAACTGGTCCAGGGCTGCAACACATCTTGCCAGGAGCCCCACCTACAAGCGCGAGAGCTGCCCCTAGCATCGACCGACCCGTCCACTTGACATCTTCCAGGTTCTTGAAGGCCTGATCAAATTTCTCGGTGCACTTCCCTATCCACGCGGCCGTACAGACCCTGATGCCTCGGCCGCCTTCCGCATCGTCTCAGCGGCTGCCTCCAAGGCCTCCTCACGTGCCTTAGAGACAGGCAGGCGTAGTCCAGAGAAGCCGAGAAAGGCCAAGTCAGGTCAGCCTGGCTGAAGGGTGACTTCAAAGCTTTTGTCAGCTGCGCGTCACCTTGAATTATTAAGCAGCAAAAGTGAACAAAAACTGTGGCATTGCTTCGGGGCCCCTGCCCAAGACGAAGAGAATCTCGGCATGCATCCTGCGGTATTCCTGAATGAATACACACAAGGCATTCAGATCTTTTCCGCGAACAGAGCTTGGACCTGGTCCTCCGCATCCTCCGCAAGGCCCTGCAAGACCTCCGAGGCCTGTCGAGCATCTGAGAAGCATTTGCCGGAATCCCGCTTGCTACTAGCAACAGGCCTTAGTCGCTTCTGCCATCGCAGCAACAGGCGCATCGGGTTCACCCACGCGGCTTGCGTGGATGCGCGCAAGAACCTGCAAAACAGACCCAAAAAGGCCGTGCCCTTTTGACAACGTCACAATCCCAGAGCTGTATGTCATCCCACTGATGTAGGTGGCGTGTTTAAAAGCATCGGCCTTCCGCGCCACTCCTTCCAGCCAAGGATCCTTGCAAAATGTCACTGGCAGCACAAGACAGCCAGACCCCAAGTGTCTTCCTTAGTCCCTGTTCCAACTCAAACTCCTGCGCATCACGGCCAAGCTCCACCGCATCTTTGGCCAGCCAGAGGACTTCGCCGATCCGCGCGAGGATCACTTGTTGACGACGGCTCGTCAAATACATCCCAGCTGCACATTTCCCGGCAATTTCTGTCTTCACCGTGTAGAAAAGCAGCAACTCCACGGCCGTCAGTCCAGCCTTCAGGGCCTGGAGCCCGGAGTTTTTCGAAAGCTCCTCGGCTTTTTGGCGAAGTGAATCGACCTCTTGGAGCTGCTTCGTGAGCTCTGCTGCCTCGGGAACGCCCCCTTCAGCTGCATCTGCCTCTGCGCTGACTTCTTCGATGAAAGCCAAAGCCGCCTTGACTAGGTCTTGCGCCTGAAGCAGAGCTGACATAATGCTCCGCTGTTGGCTGCACAACCAAAACACTCCTGCCTCAGCATCCAATTCTGCGTCTACCGCCATGGCTTTTCTTCAATGTCAATACTGCATCAAAATCCATTAAGTTCACTGCTTGTAGCGTGACATCTTCCGGCACAATACGAACAGTGTCTCCCTTGAAAGGAATGATGATATGTAATGCCTCTGTTACTGCAAGTTCCGTCGTGCCACCAGCAATCCCATGATGCTGTGAGCCCACGTCTACATATCCCTGTGGCAGGGGCACTTGACGCAAGCTCATAGGCTCCGATACTCTGAGCCCAATAACATACTGCAGGCCAATTATTAAACCCAACAGCGATAACTTCCAAATCCTTCACCTCTACACAGCCACCATTGGTTCTTCAAAGCCTAACTCTTTGGAAAAGCTCCTCGGGTTTGCTTGGTCAGGCTCTGCCAAGCTAGTTTTCCCGGCCTAATGTTAGTTGCTTGCGCTACGCGGTCAACACCAGGCTGATTGAGCTGCTTGCTCGCGTCGGCTTGTGTCACTTTGGTCAGGTCAAGGTTGCTTAAGGAAGGATGCCAGTTGACATCTTGTTCCAAGCATGCGAGGGATGCACATCAACCTGCCGCATCTTCGATTGTCTCCCGGCAAGGACTTCAGGAAGTGGTTGACCAAATGTCGCACTGGAGGCGGCGAACGGTTTTCGCACAATCTGTCATCGGCCAGCCTGTCCAGCTCTCCAACTACTCCTCTGACGGGTTGTCAACAGCCCTGCTCACAGCCCTAAATGTCACAAAGATTTCCAGTTGCCGACATGAATAGGATGTGGGGGATCGACTTCGTTCAGAAGGACTTCAACCACTGCAGCGATCCACTGGTGTTGCAGATCGCTGGAAAAAATCGGTTGTTACAGACTGATAACAGGGAAAAGGCTTTCTCCTTCCCAGCCCAAGAAGACTCCTGCATGCCGCCATGGACATGAGCACAAGGCCCACTGCACTGACGAAGGAGGTTTACAAAACAGGCAAAGATTGCACGAATTCCATGATGTTGAGAAGGCCCCACGAAGTAGCACAACTTTTCCTGCCATGGCCCCGGATTCCCATAAGTTACATAGCACCGGCACGGCTCGAAGGGTCCGAGCCACACAGTGTGAACCCAGTCTCCGAACACCTCCAGCCACAGGAACGCAATCTGCATTCACTGTTCACCTGTGTTTGCCAGGCACAACCTGGGCTTTGTATGTTTGTTCGTGTTCCAAAACCATATTCAATCAACATTTTCCACAACCACGAAAATATCCTTCATCGACCACTCAAATAAATTATGCGAGCGCCAATTCCAGTGCACATACACATGGGCACGGACAATCCCTCATGTTTTTCACGTTGAATACTGACTAGTTCAACTGGTACGTGCGTTGGCAAAATGTGCGTAGAGCTCGGGCTGCAACGCAGGTGACTTTTGCGTCACCACACACGGGACACGCGTATACCCAGTTAACCAAATGAAGCGAAAGACAAAACTGGTAAGCTGGTAAGCCCACACACAAAGTAACAATGCAGTCACCAGTCGACAAAGGTCGAACGCTTCGTCATACTTGCGCCGTGCATACTGAAAAGAATGGAAGGAAGGTCAAAAACTCAACGACTAGGACTCATTCGTCCCAATCACGGATTGCACACGTGACAGAACAAACCACTACATAAGCGTCGCATGAACATGTGCAATGTGGAAATGTCCCACAAAATTGCGCAAGTCATAAAACAGGCTCGGGAAAACTTGGCATGGAAAATAGGAAACGAACCAACAAGGAAACTGGGGAAATTTTGAGCGCCTCAACTGAAGCTTTGAAATGGAAGTGGAAAACAAAGAAACAACCAGCGCGTCGGAAATCGCACATGTTGGCCAATGGTGGAGCTTCCGAAGATGCACAGATGTACAGCCGGAGCTGGAGGCAAGCAGCACGTCCCGCGCTTCGAGAAGACTACATGACTACATCCACTTTAGGGCGTCGAGGACAATGCGTCGCTGAGCCTCCGCCACAATCTCTGAAGGCAGGCTCCGGATCGCGTTAAATTGACTGGCGGTGCCGCCAGGAGCGTTTTGAGGGGTTGCATTGAATCTGTCCAAACCTACCACAACAAGCAGCAAGAGTACGAACTTTTTTAGCTGCTCTGAATGCAGCTGTTCAGCCGGCTTGAAGGTCCTCAGGCTTCAAGCACAGTGGCTTGTCCTTTTCCCCCGGGTGAGAAGAGAGGCTGAAAACCAGAAACCAACAAAAATCCTCGCCACATGGTGAAATGCTGAATCAAGAACTGAGTTCAGCGCGTTTGGGCTGGCCTAAGATTTTTTCGCGAGCGCAGTATCGCACCAGCTAAACATATGTTCGTTCAGCGAATCTGCTTTTCAGATGAAGCCACTAATTTTAGTAGCTGCAGCAGTGAAACATCGCCGCACTCAAGTACTTGTTAAGTCAAGGGACAGACACAAAGCTCTGTCAGCGCAATTCCGGGCTCAAGGCGAGCTGAGTTCATCATCATCCTGGCAAGTGTTCTGTTTTGAGCCACAGTTGCCTTGAGCCCATAATCAAAACACATTGCATCACTCGGAACGAAAACAAAATTCCAAAAATCGATTCCCATCATCGCAAATATATATCATCAAATCGTGCATCCAAATAGTATAATAAAATTCCAAAGTCCAGAGACTCACACGCACTCACGTTTCTGTCGGTGGCATTGGGGATCACAGAACATTCGAACAGAATATAGCTGCATGCAAGCCGCACCTAACCCTTAGGGGACCAACAAACCCAAACATTCCCACCGCTCACATACACCAGCACTTACATCGCTCGCCTTGCACACACCACAGCACTTACACCGCTCACATATACCACGCCACTTCTCCCTTTTATTTTCTCCTATTTCTAAGCCGGGTAGATTCGTCGGGAATCGTCGGAGCGAACCCTCTGCTGGTTTTGTGCGCGTCACATCGCTCTCGCTGTGGCCCCGCGCGAATTTTCAACGTCGCCGGCGAACCCTCTGCGGGGATCGCGCGTGTCGAATCGCTCTCGCTGTGGCGCCGTGTGAATTTTCAACGTCGCTGGCGAACCCGCTGCGGGTATAGTGCATGTCGAATCGCTCTGCCGGCGAACCGTCTGCGGGGATTGCGCGTGTCGAATCGTTCTCGTTGCAGCGTTGTGCGAATTTTCAACGGCGCCGGCAAACACTCTGCGGGGCTTGCGCGTCGAATCGCTCTCATTGCGGCGCCGTGCGAATTTCCACGTTGCCCGGCGAACCCTCTGCGGGTTTCGCGCGTGTCGAATCGCTCTCGTTGTGGCGCCGTGCGAGTTTTGGACGCGGGTTGCGCACCCTCTCGCTGTTTTCGGCGGGTACCCATGCGGCGCGTCTTGCGAGTTCGCGAAAGCGGCGACCCCCTCGTGGTTTTCAGTCGTTGGCGGCGCTGGCGCATGAAGCGTCCTCAGAGGTCTCTCGCAATCGACGGCCCTCTCGTGGTTTTCGGCGGATAGCGGATAGCGGCCATGGCGCGTTGAGCGTGCTCCCATCATTGTTTTCCGCAGGTCGCGACGCTGGCGCGCGGAGCGTCCTCGGAGTTGTGTTTGTGATCGACGACCCTCTCATGGTTTGCAGCCAGTGGCGGCGCTGGCGCGTGGAGCGTTTTCAGAATTCTTTTCGTAGTTGACGGCCCTCTCGTGCTTTGCGGCGGGGGTGGCGGCGCTGGCGTGTGGAGCGTCCTCAGGATTCTTGTCGTAATCGACGACCCTCTCGCGCTTTGGGTAGGTGGCGGCGCTGGCGCGTGGAACGTCTTCAGCTCATGTTTCGTGATCGACGACCTTCTCGTGGCTTTCGGCGGGAGGCGGCGCTGGCGCGTGGAGCGTGCTCAAAATTCCGTTCGCAACCAACGACCCTCTCGTGGTTTTGGGCGGTTGGAGGCGCTGGTGTGTGGAGCGTCCTCAGAATTCTGCTCCGAATCGATGACCCTCTCGTGGTTTTGGGCGGGCGGCGGCGCTGGCGCTGGCGCGCGCAGAGCGTCCTCAGAAGCGGGCGGCGGGCGCGTGGAGCGTCCTCAGAATCTGTTGTTCGTAATCGACGACCCTCTCTTGGTTTTTGGTGCTTGATGGCACTGGCGTGCGGAGCGTCCTCGAAAATTCTGTTCGCAATCAAGGACGTTCTCGTGGTTTTCGGCGCTTGACGGCGCTGGCGCCTGGAGCGTCCTTCCAATTTCCAAAACCCTAGACGATTGTAATTGGGTTTTTCATTAAAGTTTCGGATAGGTTTTCTTGATGTCAATCTTGATGTCAAGTAAGTTCCTATAGAAAAGGATGTGAAAGTAATGACCAATCCGTGCTCTTGATTAATAACGCCGCCCAGATTTTAGAAAACGAGTGGTCAAAAAAAATGTTTAAGGCGGAGGCGGTTTGAGGCTGAGGCAACCCTGGATTGCAAGAAAGTAGCTCCGGACCCTAAAAAGCGAAAGGCTTAGGTTTGAGGTTTCGTTTCAATGGCTGAGGATGTAAAAGTGCTTAACTTTTCAAGCTGTCAACACGCCTGCGGCTCACATGAAAATCTGTACATGCTGGCCATGAA